GCATAATGGATGGATGGATGGATGGAGGGAGGGAGGGAAGGGAGAAGTATTACTCATAGCAGGAGGAGGAGGAGGAGGAGGAGGAGGATGAGGAGGATAACGCACCTGATCGCCAGCCGAGAGGTTCGCAGAAGCTTTCAGTAGCAGGGAACCATCGGGTGTCTGCAATGGCAGCAGGTCAGGAGAGCGCAACACGTCCAGCAGGACCCCAGCTCTCACCGAGCTCGCCTCATGCGTCCCCGTCTTGTGGTTTGGCATGTCTGCTGCTGGCACCAGAGTGTGGACCACCGACACGTTCTCACCTGCTCCCTCCAGTCAACCCCTCCTCGTCCTCGTCCTCGTCCTCGTCCTCGTCCTCGTCCTCGTCCTCGTCCTCGTCCTCGTCCTCCTCTTCCTGCTCGTGCTCGTGCTCGTGCTCGTGCTCCTCGATCCTCTTCCTGCTCGTGCTCGTGCTCGTGCTCGTGCTCCTCGATCTCTCGTCACCCCTTTCCCGCCCTCTTCCTTGCTCTCCTCCCTCCCACCTCTCTCGCTTTCCCATCCCATCCTCTTTGTACCCCCCTACCGGTTGCACAGCACTCTTTCCTACCCCTCTGCCTCTTGCCCCCCCCCCCTCTCCTACCGGTCATCTTTCCCAGGACATCGTCTTTGAACTTCCTGCCCCACGTCCTCGACATAATGATGCTGCATGCACCAGTCAGTCTGCTACGGAGGACAAGGGGCAGGGCGGGGCAAGGTGGGAAGAGGCGAAGAAAGGAAAGAGGAGGACGAAGGAAAGTAGAGGAAGAGGAGGTGGAGGACAAGAAAGGAGGAGAAACAGGAGAGAAGAGGGCAAGGAGGAGTAGAAAGAGGAGAATAAGGCACCTGCAGGCCCATGCCCATCGCGCGTACGTGTAGTCGGCAGGGGAGAACTTGAGAGGAAACTGGGAGAAGAGTTTGGGCATGAGCTCGACGTAGTGAACCTCCAGGACGTCCCTCGCCCGCTCGATCAGGTCGTCGAACCTTGTGACTTGCTCGGGAAGGGGTTTGAGAATCTTCTCCCTCCTCTCTCTCTCGAACTTCCTCTCCGAGTAGAAGATGGGGAGCGGGACGTGGCGCGGCAGGGCGCAGAGGTAGGGGCGCCAGAAGGAGGACTTGTTGAGCGACTCGTGGATGAGGTAGACGGCCAGCCCGCTGAGGCCCTTGTGGAACTGAGGGATGCTCTTCCAGACCTCGGCGAAGTTTGGGTCCTGCGAGACTGTCCCCACATTGATCAGCAGCTTCGGGGGGATACGAAAGAGGATCTCGTGGTCATGGATGGTCCCGTTGGCCTTGAGCCCTCGCACCATCCTCCCCGTCTTGCTCCCGTCCTCTCCCTCGATCGGGAACATGCCTGTCGTGACGTTCCGGTGGATGTAACCTCCCATCCTCCTTGTCCACTCCATCACCCGCAGCACTTTCTCTTCCTCCGTCCCGCACTGGTGGCCGTCGACGACCGCATATCCGATGGAGGAGGCAGAGGGCTCGATGCTCTGGTTGACGTGTAGCTGCATGTACGCCATGAAGGGGACGAGGAAGGCGCAGAAGAGGAGGTAGTAGGTGATGCTGGACCGGAACTGTCGCTTCTTGAGCTCCACAGAGTTCTCTCGCTTGACACCAACTTCCAACCTTCGAAGCCCGAGCTCAACATCGCTATTGGAGGCGCTGCTGGCCTGTTGAACCAGCTTTAGAGTCAGCACGAACCTCTCCAGTTCACCACAGGCCACCTCCCTTCCTCCCTTCTCCCTTCCACCAACTCCTCCTCCGCCGCCACCACCTCCAACTTCATCTTTTCTCCATCCCCCACACCCCCCACCTCCACCTCATGATCATCATAACCATCATCATAGTCCCTACTGTGAGGTTTGGTCAAGCCTCCATTCCGAACAAAGAGACACACAAGTGTCCTCGTCCACTTTCGCCTCCACCTCTCACGACCTCTTCGTGCTAGCCTATCTCATCGTCCTTCCATGCACCCACCACCACCACCACCACCGCCACCACCACATCTTCTTCTTCTTCCTCCCTCTTCCTCCCCCCTCCTCCTCCTCGTCCTTCTCCTTCCTCCTCCTCTCCATCTCCCGCTCCCCTCCAACTTGCCTGCGCCGCCCGCACGCGAAGCTCGGCTCTCATACTGCTGCCATGCCCGGTGAGTCAGAAATGGGTTGAGTTGGGGTGGTACCCTGAATGACTAAAAGGGAGGGGTACTGGACAGAATCGGGTGTAGAGGTATGCAGGAGACGCTATGGCAGCGGGTCAAGGAGGGGCTGGAGTGGTTCGATGGGGCGATAGGGGAGGGAGAAGAAGAGGAGGAGGCAGGGAGGATCGCAGGGAACAAAGGAGGAGGAAGAAGAAGAGGCTTCGAGCAGGCATTGGAGAGATATTATCCAAAGTTCAGAGTCATCCATCGAGACCTGTTGCCGTCAGCACTGGAGCCGTCGACGAGGAGAGCGCTTGAGGTCAGTCTGCAAGGATGAGAGGAGAGGCGTGTACATGCATACAATCACCTCACTCAGCGCGATCTCCATCGGGTGCAGTCAAGGTTGTTGATGCTACGACAGGTGCTCAAGGACCAAATGGGCTGGTTTCGTAGAGACTACGTGTGGGTCAAGGGCAAAGTGACGCAGACGATGGTGACGAGGCTCCTTGTCGGAGAACGTGGATGTACATACAAGTATAAGGGCCTGAGACTCTTCTGCCGATCGTGGGAGACGGAAGCCGCGAAGGTTCCCGACAGCGCCTGTCATGCACTGGCGGTGAGAGGAGGGTTGACGGGTGAGTTCGGTGCAATGACAAGTCTCGATGTGCAGGAGATTCGAAGACTGAACGAAGTACTGAAGGAGAAATCGAGGAAGCAGCACGAATGCTTCATGGCGCGCGGCGAGGGATCCGGGGAAGGGGCAGTGGAGGGAGGAGTCAACAGCTTCAATGCAACCCTTATTAACTACTTCGATGAATCGATAGCAAACCACGTTGAAACAAGGCCCGAGCCCTACTACGGGATGGGCAGGTGCTGCATTTCATGGCATGCGGACGACGGAGTGGTCGAGCAGTCCGCTATCGCAGTGTACAACGTCATCGAGCGAGCGGAGAAAGGGGAGGAGGAAGAGCTGGGGGAGGTGTGGAAGGTGGGGTTGAAGGTGAAGTGGGAGGTCGATACGCCTGGTGTGGCGGTGCCGATGGTAAACGGAGACGCGTATGTTATGCTGTCGGGCTTCAATGAGAAGTATGACTGAGTTCTTCCTTCTCTCCCTCCTCTCCTCACTCTAGTGCAGGAACCAGCACTGCGTGGTGTGCGGTCGGGGGTCACGATTCAGCAGCACCCATCGGGTCTGTCCACAGGAAGACATGTAAGACGAAGTTTGCGATGATGTGGCTGGTGGCCTGACATGTTCGAAGGTACCACAATTTCTACTGCAGGTGCCGTGAAACATTCCTTCAGCTTCACTTCCCCTGGAACGCGCGGGGAGTGCTCCAGGAAGGGGAGGAGAGGAGGGCATGCCTGAGCAAGATCGTAGCGAGTCTCGATGCTCTAGAGGATCTACATGACCAGCTGGAGTTTGAGTGGCTGCGGCAGTTTCACTTCCAGTACTTTGACCTGCCGCCGTCGGAGCTGGACGACTACTGGGTGGAGGTGATACATGTGCTTGCAGATCTGTGGCAGAGGATGGAGATTGTGGTCTGGATTTGGATCAGCTGCTGCAGGAGGAAGAGCTTCATGGTGGGAGGGAAGGAGCTGCGAGACCGTCTGGAGCGTTTGCGACAACTTACCTCACAGCAAAAGGGGCAGGGTCAGGGTCAGGGAGAGAGTGAGCAGGAGGAGGAGGAGGAGGAGGAGGAGGAGGAGGAGGAGGAGGAGGAGGAGGAGGAGGAGGAGGAGGAGGAATGGCGAACTGGAATCTTCTCGCACAGCTGGATGGTTTCAATCGTGCCAGAGGTGCAGAGCAGCTTGCCGTTTCTCATGAAGAAACTTTTAAGGAGTGAGGGTGCAGGAGGAGGGAGGGAGGCTGCCGGGGAGAAGGCGATTCCTGAAGACGCGCTGGAGCTCGTGAAGGCGACTCTTGCCCGGCGTTTGCAGAAAAGGTGAGGAAGTTTTGGTGATATGCTCCTCTTCTAACAGCAAGGAATCGCAGACAAGAGCATCGAATTTGGTGGGAGGAGAATTTCCGGAAGAGGTTGTCTATGGGAAGGGGAGGGGAGCAGAGGGAAGGGGGAAAGAGGAAGAGAAAGGAGGGAAGAGCTGACGGCCTTGGCTTCTCTCTGCTCCCAGCGAACCTCAACAGCCTCGTCTCTACTTTGAAGTGAACTTCAATCAAACAACAGAAAGATCCTTGAACGTATGATTACAACATCTCAGCATATCCAGGCCTGACCGCCCGGAGAGGGGAAAATGAATGCATGGAAGAAAATTGATCGCGGGGGGAGTGGACCTGACGGGAGGTCTATCTGTAGATGGTGTCAAAGGTCTTGTTGAACTTCTGCAACTTCTCGATGACAATGTCCATCTTCTCCTCGCTCGGCAAGAAGGTGGTGCGGAAATGAAAGCTACCCTTCTTCTGCCTGCGAAGCAAGCTTACACTTGAGGGTGAGGGAGGTCGGGGACTAGTGAGTCGCAAGGAAGAGGGAGGAGGGAGGCGGACGATCACAGGTACACTAGGAGGTGCAGGACACAGGAGCAGGGAGGAGCAGAGCAACAGGGGCGAAAAGGGGAGACATCAAAATACCTGAATCCTGACCCCGGGACCACACAGATACCAGTGGCATCGAGCAGTTCAACGCAGTAGAAGGTGTCAGGCGTCATGCCGGAGTCCTTGGCTGCCTGCACAGCCTTGTAGGGGATGTCGATCTTGGGAAAGGCGTAGAGGGCTCCCTCGATGGCGTTGCAGGAGATGTTGTCCATGGCGTTGAGCGCGGTCGACAACTTGTGTGCCCTGCGGGTGAGCGACTCCTGCAGATTGTTCATCTCCTCCTGATAGAGCGCAAAGCTCGGCTCCCCCTCCTGCGGGGGCTTCACCATCAGGTCAACCATCATCTGGCCCGCGATGTTGGAGCAGAGGCCGATGGAGACAAGCTTGTAGATCTGCTCCCGCACGACCGTGTCAATGTTGCGGAGCTCCATGTACCCTCCCCTCCTCCCGCACTCCCCGATCATCCCCTTGGACACGGAGTGGTAGGAGATGAGTTCAACGGAGCTGCCCATGTCCGTCACGACCTTCCTGAAGGAGGTGAACGGGGTCTCGCCGTAGATGGGCGTCTGGTACACCTCGTCCGCCAGGATGACAAGATTGTTATGCTCACAGAACTTTACAACCTCCCTTATGTTCGCCTCTGTCAGACACTGTCCCGTCGGGTTCCCCGGGTTGATCACCACCATTGCTCGAATGTTGGTTCCCTGATTCTTCGCCTCCTGATACGCACGATCGAGTTCACCGAGGTCCATGCTCCAACCCTTCTCCTCCTTGAGGAAGTAGCCCACGGCCCGCCCTCCGTTCAGGGAGATCGTTGCGGTATAGAGAGGATACTGTGGGATGGGAATAAGGATCCCGTCCTTCTCGTTCCTGATGAGAACGTTCATGGACATGTTCACTCCCTGACTCACGCCGTCCGTGAGGAAGATGTCGTCCGCAGAAGCAACAAGATTGTCCCTCTTTGAGATGTACTCTGCCACGTGCTCTCTGACCAGCCGGATGCCCTAGGTATCACTGTCAAGATCAAAGGCTAACTCCCGTCCTCTTGCGCTCACCTGACTTTCACTATACGCTCCCGTCCCTCCTGGGATGTTGCTGAAGAACATCCTTGCTCGCTCAATCGCGTCCTCAGGAAACAATTTCTGTGGAATCTTCAGCAAGTCGGAGAGCAGACGAGCAGCCGGTCACCTTCGCTTTTGGCATTTCGACCAAGTCAGGATAGTCCATCAGCGCCAGCACCTTCAAGCATCCAGTCAAGGAGAAGGAACAGAAAGGGAGGCAAGTGAGGAAGGAAACAAGGGCGCGAAGGAGAAGGAGCAAGGAGCAAGGAGGGAAAAGGAGGTGGAGGAGGGGAAAGAACAACCTGTCGGAAGAATGTGATCGGCTTCTGGTTCAGCTGCTGCGGGTTGCCGATGTTGCAGTAGATGATCTCGTCGAACGGCATCCTGACACTCTCCTTGAGATTCCTCTCGTGCTGCAGCCATGCCGCGGTCAAAACAAGAGCCGCTGCCATGCCCCGCCTCCCTCCCACACCTGCATAGCACGTAGGACGAGAGCTCCTCGGATGGCGTACTGAGCATCGAGGACCTTGGGATTGATCGTCTCTGAGACGGAGGAAGACACATCAGCGCGAAAGGAGGAGATGGCGCACAAGGGAACTCCTACCTGCAGTCAGCTGGATGCCTCGGCGCTGGAGCACGTGGGGCTTCATGGAGAGAAACTTTCGGAAGCATCTGCTCCGGGAGGCAAGCATTCTCCCCACTGAAGGAGCTGCCATGATCATGTATCAAATGAGAGCTCTGTCCTCACTGATACTCCTTCACTCCTGTCTTGTTCATCATCCAACTAATAACTCCCGCTGACACCTTCTCCTTAACCCAGCACCAGTCTGTCTCCTTCTGATACCATGCTGTCAACTCCCTTTGACTCTCCTTCTCCCTCCATCTCTACTTGTCCTGCACCATGAACACTGTCCCACACTGTCCCCCCTCCCCCTCCACCCCCTCCTTCCCTCCCATACACTCGCTGCCTGCTCCTCTTGCCGCCATGTCAGTGCGTGTTTCAGAATTGGGCCAAAAGCGGAGAAAAATAGTCTTGACGGTTACTGAGGGTAGGGGTGCATGAAACAAGAATTTTTGGTATGGGGGTACTGGGTATTACCGTAAAAATGCCCTGCAACATCCTCTTGATGGTACGGGTACTTTTAGCCTGGGGGCCATCTAACTACCGGTGTGAAATTTCAAGTAGGGGTAGTCCAGAGCCAAATGATGTAAATAGCAGAGGGGGGTAGGGGTACACACAGTGCCATCGTCAGCACAGATGCACAGCAAAGCGAAAGGAGGGGAAGGATGAGGAGGGAAACGGAGCGAAGGGCCGAGGAGGGGGAGAGAGGAAGAGGAGGAGAGGAGAGGGCACAGGATGAGGGAGAGTTGCATGTTAAGCCAGGTGAGTAGCCACGAAGGAATGCAGGGGAGAACGTGCAGGAAGCAGTTGCAGTGTACAAACAAGAAGGGTGTAGCTCTGCTGTTCAAGGCAGCCATCGGACAAAGATCAGACTAAGATGATAAGAAAACGAATGATCGAGAGACATCGAAGTAGAAGCAACGATCGTGAGTGAGAGAACAAGTTGCTGTGATGAAGCAGGATCACCGACCTCCATCGCCCATTGGCGGTGGAGGTCATGGTTTACTAGAAGGCAAGGAATTCCTATCTCAAAGAGATCGACTAACCTGAGTCGTATCCTTCTGAACAGTTTTCTTCACAGGAGGGTCTTTGTTCTCAGCGCTTTGTATGAGCTGAGAGAGAGCTCTGCATCGACCCATGTCCGACGCCTACGTCACACTCCCCCTTGGGGACGAAGATTTCTCCCCCTCTGCTCCTGAACAACCCGGAAGTTTCGCTCCTCGCCCTCCTCCCAATCTCCCGCACATAATGGTGAGAAAACGGCGACAAGCACATTCATGGTGGATGTAGAGATGTGGATAGTGGTATGGATGATAAGAATGTTGACAAAAGCGATGAGATGAGAGTAATTGTTATTTGGTGGTGCTGGTGCCGGCGGCGGGGGAGGAGTGCGCATGAAAGTGACTGACGATTTTGTTTCAGAACAACGATGGCTCAGGGATTCGTTTCGACGTCTCTGTGACCCAACCAACCAAGAGTGGCAACGGCTATCAAGCCTACGTGGTGTACAAGGTGACTTGTAAGGTGAGGAAGCGTGCACGACGAGGGTCGATGTCCACTCCCTGCCGCTGACTCGCTGCGCAGACAAACTTGGAGCAGTACTCGTCGAGTGAGATCATAGTGAACAGAAGATTCAATCACTTCGTTTGGCTGCACATCCAGCTTCTGGAGCAATACCCTTGCTACTTCATTCCTGCTCTGCCGGACAAGTCTGGAATAGATCCGTACTTCAACAGATTCGACGCTGAATTCATCGAGAGGCGCCGATGGGCCCTCCAGCAGTTTCTCTTTCGTCTTGTCAACCATCCCATCATCCGAACGTCAAAGCCGCTGCAGGTGAGAAGTGACGAGGAGCGGCGCGCCGGGGCGATTGAGCAGCGAGCGAACAGATTTTCTTTGAGGGGAATGAAGATTCCATGAAGCTTCCGGAGGAGAAGAAACCGTCCTTGTTTGGATGTAAGTGAAGATTTTTTTGAGTATTGTCTGTAATGTTGAACCCTATCAGCGCTTTTCAAGGATATTGGAGCACCGAAAGTGCCAAAATCGATGCAGGAAAGGCCTTGTTGGCATCATCGTTGTCAAGTGAAGGCTCTGTCTTGCAGGATCCCGAATTCGCTGAAATGGGGCTGTACATAAAAGAGCTTGAGGATCAGCTGTTTGAAGTTCACAAGTTTGTAGAGAGGATGGTGATGACTCTCACCGTCATGGGATTCTTTAGCATCAACAGGGAATTCCTGACTTACCTGCAGGTGCTTCGCAGGAGGGACTTCGGAAGTTCCCTCGGAGAACTTGGCCTCACCTTGATCACCATGGGGACTCATGAAGAGAAGGTTGTCGCAACGGGAGACACCATGGTTTGCTCACGCTCGCTCAACAGACAGGTGAAGAGGAGGCAGCAACGACTTCGAAGTCGTTTCACGACCTAGGGAGGTCTGGTCTTGTCTTCTCGTAAGCATGTGGGTCAGGCTGATCGCGTCAACAGCTGCTGCGACCACCTGGCGATCAACATCCAGGAGCAAGTGAAGGATGAGATGGAGAAGACTGTGTTCGTGTTGGAAGAATGGCTGCGAATAATGGAAGGCGCAAAGGTGCGGCTCACTGATCAAACTGATCGATGTCAAGCTGATGTGGACGCAGGAGGCGCTGAGAGTACACGGAGCAACTGTGGCCCAGTCGCTGGCTTTCATGGTGCGAACGTCGATTGCAATGAGTGTGGTGGTTGGAGTTAACAGCGTTTCGCAGTCGGACTATGAGAAGAAAGATCGAGCGCTGGTGCTTCCTCCTCCTCTGCCGTATCTGTTCCTGTGTTGCCGGTGACTGTCGTTGCAGAAGCAAGGGGTCCCGCAAGGGAAGGCAAACATCACTGAGTCCGATGTCAACGAGGTTCGACTTGTAGGGTAGTAACGCTGCTTGTCATCATGTCTGCAGGCCCGGCGAAAGGTGGAGGAGTCGAAACAGCGCGCAGAGCTGCTCGGCCAACGCCTGCGCGAGGAAATGATGAGGCTCAAGCGCATGAAGGCGGTGGAGCTGCGGACTTTGCTGTTCCGCTTCGTGGAGATCCAGATCAAGAACGGATTCGTGGTTGAAGAGGAGACGGAGATCGGGGGTTGAAGAGCTCATGGGTCGGTGCAGGTGACGGAGTCATGGCAGAGAGCTCTTTCCTCGGTTGTCAACGGCATCGATCCCTCGGCTCTCCCAGGGTATCTCCACTTTTCCTCCCCTGCTTTGTGCTGACATACTCATCGGCAGCAAGACACAGACAGAGGGATATGTGTGATTCAGATACAACCCTGTAGTGAGCACATTGTTTTGAGTGAAACAAGTTGTCATCGTATGTATGGTTGTCTTGCACACGATACCACCTCCTCGCACCTGCACTCTGAGATGGTTTCATCATGTATAATGCCATCTGCGACAACCTCGGGCGATCGACAATCACATTCTAACAAGGACCTCGGAGCTTTCGTTCTCCAGTTTCTCTACCAACTCCTCAAGCTCCTTCCTCTCTCTCTCCATCATCGCCTCTGCAACCGCATACGTGGCCTCTTGCTCCTGTCGACACCTCCTCATTTTCTCCAGAACAGCCCTGTACTCTTCCTTTTCTGCTCGCAGAGCTTCCGTCTCCTCCTTGATCGCAGTATAGATGTCTTGAGCCATTCTGAAAGCTCTCTTTGTCGACATGCTCTCATCTGCGTTCTCATGCAGGTCAAGAGAGATCCTTGAGGGAGTGAATTCCCTTGAAGTGGATGCAGAATCCAGCGATGATATGCTCTTGGTCGATTGTCTTTCGGCTGTTGTTGTTGCTGCTGCTGCTGCTGCTGCTGCTGCTGCTGCTTCTAGGTCAGCTCCGGCTTCCTCTTGCTCGTATCGTGACTCGCTCCTCCTCTCATTCTCCCTGAAGTGGCTTGACAGCGGGTTCACAGAACGGTTGACTTGCTTGGCCAGGTCTTCTGTCTTATTCGCTACTTTCTGCAATCTGTTCTCCGTCTTGTTTGCCACTTTCTGTATTCCATCGACAAGCTTATGCCCCCATCCACCAAAGAGCTCGGACATATGGACAATGTCAATTCAAGTCAGTGAGACAAGTCTCGATGCTGATCTCGTTTGTCGCCAGCCAGCTCGCACAACACCCTCACCTCATGAACTTTCTCTTCTCCCCTCCTCTTCTCCTTTCAGTCCCCTCCTCTCCTCTCTCCCGTCCTTCTCCTTCTCCTCGCGCCATCTCCTGTGCCCTGTCCTTCAATCTCAGCCAGCATGGCTCATCGGGGTAGGGGGGTTCCGGATGCAGGCAAGATGTCTAAATCAGGGTAGGGTCCTGAAGAAGGGGTGGGGTCAAATACGAATTTGAGGGTAGTAATGATCTACAAAGATTGGTAAAATGTATGAGGGTGGGGTCTACGTCGACGGTGACGGTAGGGAAAAAAGGACACTAGGGGGTAGGGGTGGTTTGGTTGTGAGTACGAGGACAGCAACTAATGATTTAGAAGAAAAGAGCTCTGCCTTCTGTTATGCTTGAGGACGATGGCGGGATGCGCAGTTTTTTAAAAAATTCAGACGGCAGGATGGAGGCAGGGACGAAGAGACCAGGAGGAGGAGGAGGAGGACACATGAAAAGAGTGTGAAGATTTCGACACAGAGGGATGAGGATAAGCGGCAAGAGCAGGAGGGAGGTGGGCAGGAAGACTGAATGTAGGAAAATTTACTTCAGGGGTTAGCATGGAATGGCGTGTCAGTAGCTTGAGCAGGGGTAGGGGAAGGAGCAGGATATGAAACTAGATTATGATCATGATGATAATGAGGAGGAAGGGTGCCATGATATTTAGAATTTTTTTGATATCATGAAGGAAATGGTGATGTTGGTTGCGTGTACGATTTTTAAGGAGTTTCAAATTTTGGTTCACTGAAATCATTTCTGCAGCGTACTCACACCTTCAGGATGTTCACTGTACGTGAAACCAATACCATCTTCATCTCGTTGCTCATCGTCGGGTTGTCTCTGTTGGATTCGTGTGCTTCATTTCAAGTCGGAGTGCAGCTTCCTGGTTCCTCGAGGTGCGCCTGTCTTTGCAGGAAGCCCAAGGACTGAGAGATCGACCAGGTCTCATCATGCCGGTAGGACGAGGAGCATGCATCTGACACGATTGAGATGCTCCTGGATCCCGGAAGAGAAAAAGGGGCTTGACAAGGATGAAGTGAAGGAGAGTCTTTCCCGCTTCATGAAATCAGCGCCCAAGGGTATCATAAAGGCTGTGCAGAGTCAGGTGGGGGACCTCATAATGGTGATTTTGCTCTGAAGAATGTCTCCAGGTTTTGCCCGTGGCCAAAGATATCTTTGTTAAGAACGTCTTGAAGCAAAACGCTACAACCACGACGAATGAAGTCGTTACAAAACCCAGCGACAACCCGATGGTAAGGATAGCGAGAAGTTCTTTCCAGCCTGACTTTGCACGCAGAAGGTTGTCAGTAACTCGACAGTGAAGGCGAACATTGCTCCCATATCCTTGGTAGATGCTCCAGACTCTAGCGACCAGCTTCAGCAGCTGCAGTTGCTCATGGGACTGTCCCTCGCCGATGAGTTGGAGGAGAAGACTTCGAGGTGCGTGTTTGTTGTTGTGAAAAGATGCGAGTCATTGAACTTGCATCTACAGATTGCTCGAGCAAGACAATACGCGAAGTGCTCGGAGTTCTTCGCCGTCGTGGATGATTGAACGAGAAGATTACAAGTCCTGAAGTTGAGAGTAATCCAAGATGAAAAGGATTGTAAATATATGCTCTTTGGCATCAACAAAGATATTATATATTTCCTCACAGCAGGCTATTCAACATTACATTCTTTACAGCTCGAAGATCGGTCATTGCATCTGTTTATCACCAGCGTTTGGTGTTCACGTCTTTTTTCGGCTGGCATTCCTGCAGGAAGCTATTGAGAAATTTGCAAAGATCGATGGTCAAGATACTTGTTTCACGAGGTGTATCATGATTCTCCCTTTCCTCTGCTCGGCATTCAGCTTCAAGAATTCATCAACTCCCTTGCCTGAAAGTTCGCAATAAGATAACTCCAGAGCAACCATACTCCACATACTCCAATCGTAGCACACGGAGTATGCAAAGAGTGATCCGTCATGGTTGAAATGTGAGGATGTTATTGGCTAAGCAGCGCATTCGTCACAAGCCCACCACATCAAAACAACGGAGGCACTTCACCTGATCTGCCCTCTGGAATGCTTTCAGCCTGTGCTTTGCATCCTGAAGGACATCTTTACAGCTGCTACGTTTACGATGAACCTCTCGTACCTTGTCCCAAAAATTGAAAGATCCATCCCCGCCCGCTGTGGCGAATGTTCCCAACTGACGCAGAGGGTGAGAGAGAGCCTTGAAAAGTACGAGGGATTCACAGGATGGAATGCAATAGTGTTCACAGCATATAGCTCCGGGTCCTTGGCATTTGTGTTTTGCCTTGTCAAGGAAGCTTTCAGGACATTGACAAAGCAGGACTGTGCAAGTCACCGATGACACTTGAATGCGAAGTTCTTGGGAAGGTCAGCATCGCTGATATGCTCAACGCCTACCCGCCCCTCAATGCTCCCGACACAGAACCCGGTCTGTTTGCAGGAAACAGGAAGTCAGAGCATTTCAGCTAACCGATGTGAGGGTTACACACCTTGTCAGGGAATATGGCCACACATCGGGTTTGGTATTTCAAAGGCGAGAACTTTTGACGAAATGGCTGGGCGGGGTTGCTAAAATGTTGTTAAACCTGCACAGGAACCAACACTGATCAACTCACCGTAAGTCGTATACAAGAACATGTCTTTCAGCAGTTGCAACTATCATAACATGATCCACGACATCCATCGCCTGCAGTATTTTTCAGTCCCAGTTAGTCCAGACGTCCTGCACATACATAAACTCTGTCTGGAACTTGTAGAACGCCAATTGGAGAAGCTGAGGGATTTCTACAGAGATCAGTCAAACTAGACATTTTTGAAACATTAAAATATTCTGAGAATGAACCTTGCATCCCAGAATTTCAGAGTACGATCCCAAGATCCCGTAATGTAACAAGGGGATGGCAATTCAGAGTGAAAGATCCCAGAGATGGGAGCATCGTGCATGGCGATCTGTAGCAAAGTCATGCTCACAACCTAAGGATTTACCTTGTTTCATGGCAAAGACATCATCTGGTGCACCTGAGTCCAAGTACCAGCTCGAATGTCCCACAGCATTCCCTTGCCGTCAGCTCCTCCTGATAATACGCCACCGCCATCCAACTTTCCACACGTGAGAACTTCGCAGCCCTGACATACAATACAAACCTTCCACGCGCAGCACATTGCCGGCTTCTCATGCTTCTGCATGCCAACGGGCTTTGTCTTGCCTGTTGATCCATCGACCTCGTAGCATCGCAACTACTCAACATCATCAGAACGCGAGCAGTAACACGGAAAGCTTGCAAACCTCCCCTTCCCACGTCGTCACGGCCAAAAAGTTGTTAGGTGCCTGGCATCAGCCATCAGAGGAGCTCGGTAACGTGCAGCTCTACATACCATCGCCTTGGGCGAGAACTTCATGCACGTTATCCCGTCGTTGGGAATGTGTTCCGCCTGCAGAAGCTCAGCCTCGGATCCGGATGGTTCGCATTCACCTCTGGGTCGTTCTCAGGGTTGTATCCCTTCTTATCAGATGTTAGAGAGCTGCCCCAGCTCGACCAGCTCGATCCTCCCCGCAGCCTCAAGCCGCCGACTTCGCTCCTCCCAGTCTTGGCCCCTCCCCAGGGAGAGGAAACCCCATCGACTCTTTGCGGTACTCCGCACCCCAGCCCCTCAGCACTGCATACGGCAAGAGTTGAACCTCCATGGCCCCTGCCTATCCTCGAGAGGAGGAGGCAGCAGGAGAGGAAGAGCGTCGCACATGCGCCCCCTCCCCGCCCCCTGCACGCCGCCATGAGCACCCGTTACGGCCTGTCGCTGAACGTTACGCTGATTCTGAGCAGTCTGTTACATTCGTTATATATATTCGAAATTTGTTATATATAATAGTCATAATAGTCAGGGATCCCACTGCACATGCGGGGGGCGAAGCGACCAGATCGAGGACGAGGAGGAGGGGGCGGAGGGGGCGGAGGGGGAAGAGGCGGAGGAGGACGAGGAGGACGAGGAGGACGAGGAGAAGTGAGAGGAGGGCAAGAAGGTCGAGGAGGCAGTCCAGGGGGACGGGGAGGAAGGGGACGAGGTGTAGGCAACGGAAAGGGTGGGGGAGAAGGAAGGAGTGTCGAAGCAAGTGAGAGAGGAGGCGGGAGAGGCGGAAGAGGTGGGCGAGGTGCGAGGGGCGCGAGAGGCGGAGGTGTGCAAGGAGGAAATGGAGGCTCGAGGCAGGATCGCAGGCATAGTAAGGACAGGGAAGGTTTGCCCAGAAGAGCAGAAGATGGAAAAAAGAAGCGCGAGGACAACAGCGCAGATGCGAGCACAAACAAACACAGAAAGACAGGAGACCAAGAATTCAAGAAAAAGAAAGGATCTGGCGACGGTGAGGGATCAGTTGATCAGCAAGCCAAAACTGGAAAAAGAAAATGGGAAGGGAAGCAGGAGAAAGGGAAGAGGAGAAAGTTCAGTGAAAAGAAGGCTGAGAGCAAGCCCAAGTTGAGGAGCGACAAGACTCGTGATCCTGAGAGGACAAGGTCTATGAACGACCAGATCTCTCAGCATGCAAACAGGAAAGAGCTGGCAGAGGCGAAGAAGCTGCTCCAGCAGGCGGTAGACGAGGATCTGGCGAACACGCACACCTATTCCATTGCGATCAACGCCTACGTCCGATGCGGCGATGCGATTGGAGCATCTAAGGTGATGAAGCAAATGATCAGCGCAGGTTTTGCTCCGTGTGTTGTCGCGTACACAACACTCATCAACGGGAAGTGCAAAGCTGGAGATGTACTGGGCGCTCTGGATGTGCTGCGGGCCATGCTGAGTAGGAAACCTCCGGTGCTGCCAAACATTCGGACCATCAACACCCTTCTTCGCGGCTGCTTGCTAGTCGGGGCGTCCTCCGAGGCAGATTCGCTCTTCGAACGCATGCAGGGAGAGTGGAGTCTTGAGCCGGATCTGTCCACATATGAGTACATCATATCTCTGCGGTGTCAGGGACTCCTGCTCGGCGAGGCCACCAAACTCTTCAGGATGCTGCAGAAGAAGACCAAGAAGGATAGCGAAGAAGCTTCTAGTTCTTACCTGGCTCAAGCTGTGAACAGTCCGATTGTGAACATTGCCCTGGCGAGGTCAGCAGCTCTTCTGAAAGACTGGGCAAAGTGGAAGCTGTATGGCAAAGCCACGAGAAATGCGATTCAGCACATGGAGAAGGAGATCGGAGAGAGAAATGAAGGAGACGATGAAGACGAAGATGAGGGGGCCGGTCATCGTAAGATCGAAGGAGGTAAACAAGGCTGGCGAGTTCGAGATAAGAGTCGTCAACATGCGGTAGCTTGTTACTCTGCTCCTCTGGTTCGAAGCTTATTCTTGTGCTGCCAAACACAGGCATCGATCTTTGAAAAGCACAAGTGTGAAGAGATTCGGAGGGAGTTAAAGTCGATCGAAGAGTTTGTCACCAGCGTCAAGGTGTTTGCATTCGCTCGTTGGTCCTACACCTTATATGTGATTTGGCAGGCTCTGGAGGAGGACGACTCCAACACTCTGTCCAATGGCCCTTTGAAGGCTTACAGCGATTTTCTTCTGCGCTTGATCACATTTCGGGACCACGACAACGAGTACACGAAGTGGATTCGGGAAAATCAGAAGAATGGCAGCCCTGAAGCAATGAAAACTGATGAGAAGACTGAAACTAAGAAGGTCGAGAAGACTGAAACTAAGAAGGTCGAGAAGACTGAAACTAAGAAGGTCGAGAAGACTGAAACCAAGAATGTCGATAAGACTGAAACTAAGAACGTTGGAGATCCACAGAAAATCGTCGTCAAGCAGATAACCAGTGGTCTCCGGAAGGTCAGGGTGTGATGAGCTGTTTCATTATACTGATACTGGCGGCAGAGCTTCGGACTCGATCAGGTTTTGAAACAGGATATCATTGCTGCAAAGGGAGCATCTGACCCTGAGGAAGCGAAAGAAAAGCTGATTGAGAAGTTCTTTCCAAAATTCTTGGGCGACTACACGACAAAGATACGAAAAATGCTGAGCCCCAAGGGCTTTCTGGTCTTTCGGGAATTATTCGGAAACACTCTGCCTGTCAAGCTTGAAATTTGCTCCGGGGCTGGTGAATGGGCCATTGCTCAGGCCAAGGCAGATCAAGACGCGGCGAACTGGATGGCCCTGGAGCTAAGGATCGATCGAGTTCATCAGATCTTTACCAGAATGATTTTCCATGATGTTCAGAACCTGGCGGTGCTCGGTGGTGATGCCACACAGGTGAGTCAGGCAACTGCCTCTCTCTGAACGATCTGATTGAACGAGCAGATTCTTCCGTGCTTGATCTCGGAGTCTTCAGTCAATCAGATTTTTGTCAATCACCCTGAGCCTCCTCAACAGACTGGTGGCGAAGACTCCGAGGGGCAGCATCTCCTCACCGTTGACTTCTTTCGTGACATGTATCGCATCCTTGCACACGACGGAACGATCACAGTGGTGACAGACAACCTGTGGTATGCAAAGCTGCTCGGCAGAATCCTTGGAAAAGTAAGCGAGGGGTCGAAGGCAGCATTCACCTCCATCAAGATGCAGAACAAAAATATCCGACAGAACAGCTGCATAGACGGCTTTGTGATCCATGAGGGCTCGCCAGGACCCGAATGCGGGCACAGCATCAAGGCCTCCTCCTACTTCGATCGTCTATGGCAGAAGGGAATCAATCGGCACGCAACTGCGCATGATCGATACTTTTTGTACATTAAGAAGAACGTCAAGAAAGCTGGTTAAGTTTAAGACAGTAAGAGGCAGGTTCAGGAGTTTCGGAGCATTTTCAGTTGGGATCTCAGGAGTTCTATCTCTCTTCTATCTCTTTCCTGCTGTTGTTGTGCGTCTCTGGCCTGTTTGTGTAAAAATAACTCTGCTTCCCTCCTCTCATCCTCTATAAGATGCTCAAGACGCTCAATATCTTGGTGTTGGTGCTCTGCCAAGGTCTTGAAGCGCTGAAACTCGTCCGCATTGAACTTCTCCTTCTCCACCCACCTCAAAGCCTCCTGCAGCGACTGAACTTCGTTCTCCCTCCTGTCCAACTCGCTCTCAAGCATCTCCACCTCCTCTTGGTGTCTCTCTGCCATGTCTGAGATCTCTCTCTGGTGCATGGACTTCAGCCAAGGATCAGAGGCCTTTACATCACAATAGAAAGGTTCACCTTCAACTCCAACAGCTCCTGTCGGTGGAGCGATGCCCTCTCCTTGAGCAACTCCCGCAGTTTGTGCACTTGAAGCGTGAGCTTCTTGTTCGACTCACTTCGCGCTTGTTGTTCAGGATACAGCGATCAACACGGAAAACCAACTTCACCTCTCCATCCTCTCTGATTTCGTTGCTGGCAGCGGGCTAGTGCCGATGGGACTCATCTCCCTCGCACGCCTCGACAACTGGTCGATGATCCTGTCCAAGATTTCGATCTCTTCGTCTTCCGCTTCTTTGCTCATCTTGACCGCTCGGGCGATCTCCTACAGATGCTCTAGGTTATTGCGCGGATTCAAGCAGACAAGTCTAACTTGATCTGGATCTGGAAGAAGATTTCGCGTTGTTCCATGCTTGGTCCTGGACATCGCTGGAACTGATATCTGTCGAACAGTGTCATTCGACAGCAGGAAAAATTGGTTTGAACAATCAGGAGCATTGAAATCTGACTTCTAAACAAAAATTTTCCTGTGTACTGTAACTTGAATACAATCCCACTGGCTCACCCTACACTTGAAGCTTCACAGCTCACTGGCCATCATGAACACCATCACAACTGATTCAGCACTTTAGGGACTCAGATGCGATCCGGGCCGCAGCGCGGGCTGGCATCATGCCATGATGGCGGGCGGCAGGACCGGATCATCCCGAAGGTCAGTCAACCGCCCGTTACAGAGGCCAGTCTGCATTTTGACAAGCCATCAAACAGTGGCTCTAAAGTGACACAAACCTTCGGCACCTTTTTGCCGTTTTCAGATGGTTTTGCCTTAGAGGGGCCTGAAAATGAAGGGTGGGGGTAGTCCTACTACGGGTATTTTGAATAAATCAAAGATAGGGTGTTTACTTGCCATTGCTGGGTGGGGGTACTGGCCTTCCCGGGAAATGGCGCGCCGCCATGCTCCATGAGGAGGGTCATTGGTGCACTTCATGAATCATGAGAACATGCTGTTGTTAGCGATAAATTCATCGATCTGTTGCGTACAAAATCACAGAGACAAAGGAAAATGTTCATTGAGTTATGTATCATACTATCTATCTTGATTCAACAACTTAATTGGAAAGAGTTTCTAATACAAATGTACAGAATATGATATGAGCGAAATTGTGTCTTTGTCATTAGGTCTTCTTTAAAACCCAACTGTCGCAGTGGAGGACGTTCATTACTTGATTACAGGTTTGGAGAATGAGTATTCCATCCATCACTGGTCTTATCGTTCACGCTACTCTGGTCTCCCTCGAGTTAAAGACCTCAACATTTTTGGAATGCTCACTCCGCGAAATCATTTCCGTCGTAAAACCGTGGACGGAATCAAGAATCTACACAACTCCTCACATCCTCTTGCCTGCTGCGATATTGCAATGGGTTCTCCTGATTCACCTGCATGTCTCTGAGTGATTGTCTTGCTTCTCAGTCGAGATAGGCCCCTTCCACGCTTGAAATTGTTTCAGTGCTTATCAACATTTCGGTATGAGGTATCCCAATCACTTTCCTTACCATCTCCTTCATACCTACACTAAACCTTGTAACTCTTCACTTCCATCGTGCATCTTGATGATATTCATCACATCCAAGTCCCTTTTCTTTCTCAGAGCAGCTTCTTTGCCATTAATTCACCTCCTCAACTGTGAAATTGAAGTTGATGCAGACAACCACTCCGCATGGAATATGACATCTCCCACTGTTATCCGCACATCTTGAAGCTGTGAGCAATCTCATGTCAGTCTTTCAGCATGTCCTGCGTCTCGTGATCACATAAGGATGACGAGATCTTGTGCTGTGGTGTCTTCAAATCATCTGTTCCGGCGTCAATCTTGTACTCACATGTTTCTCTCGTGCTGGTGCATAGCGATTCATACCGTGTCTGTTCACTTTGCAAATGAGTCTTTAGGCCTTTCTCCAACACTCAGCAGGATTATTTTCCCCTGCACGATGATTCTTAAACGTTCTAGGTGATGTTTTACCCTGTTTGGAAGGAAAAAATGTGAAAAATATTTCTGAACGACACAATCGACGAACCATTTTTTCACAGTTTTCTCCAACGAAATGCTAGAAAAAGTGACTAATGAAGACGAATAACATGCGATTACGAAGAACATTTCACGTGGAAACAGTTTGAGGCGCTACTTGCGTGAAACAGACATGAAACAGCCAGCTCCAACATCCGTCTGATGAGTGGTGGCTTCGGATGAGTAGCAATGAAGCAACTGTCATCAGGGCCCATCAAGTACTCAAAACTCTATGCATGAACTATGCAAGATACATGTAAAGATGTGGAATTGTGACCATTCCTTAACCCAGAAGAGAACGACTTCGTAGACCATGTTCTTCCGCGTGCAATTTCTATCAGAATACCAAACTTGAAATACGGCACGAAGAAAATTATGGAAAAAAAACACAGACATGCGAAGATCCAGCTTGAATACGCTTTGTATTGTTAATGGATATGTTGGTCAATAGGGTTCACTACTGTTCAGCGATGTTTCCATGTCTCGAAGTGGATGTACCACGAAGAATTCTTCAGGCACACGTCATTCCAACGAAATTCATCCCAATATGTATTCGACGCATTGGCCTCGCAACTGAGGCAACTTTGGTGCTCATTTCGAATGCAACGGTTGCCTATCATGTATAGGAAGCAATCTATAATATTTCCAGCTTCACGGAGATCATCACATGTGAATGCCACAACTTACAAACCTCAAAATTGTCGTATTCTGTAATTTTCGTCATTTCAGTGGAAATTGAGTTATTGAAATCAGCCGAAAGATTGAAAACTGATCTTGACTAGTCAGGATGGTCTTCTATCTGAACTATTACGAAAGAATCAAGCGAAATCGCGCACCGCGGACGCAACAGCAACACAGAATAATTGGATGGAAATTTCAACGATCATGAACAAAACATGCAATTTTGTTGGAAAGCCTTCACTTTGGAAGCTTGTAGAATCTCAACGGATGCATGAAACAGAATGGCGTTTGCAGCCCCTGAAAGCGCTTGTCCTCTTCTATCCTTCCCTGCCATTTTTTCGTTGAGACCAGCGCACAAAGGGTGCTGTATGAGGGGCAAAAAGCCGTGGGTCGAATTCGGCCCACGTGGGCCGAATTCGACCCATGTGTCACTTAGCCAACAGGGTCCAAGGTCGCACGTGTCACCAGCCACGGCCGGGCCTTCAGTGCGGCGCCTCCGGCCGGCCGCCCGGCGGGCTGAGTCCGACTTAGTCCGCCTCAGTGGGTCATTTTTTCAAAAATGCTGGGTGTGAGTGGGGATGTGGATAAGTTTCGATTGCAAATGACGTGGCCCAGCAGCTTCACCTACCCCCATGACCCTCCCTTACCACCCACCCCACAATGACTCCACAAATTGCTCCACCCACCGGCATCATTTACCTCAGACAGTGGAAATGGTACCGGTATTTTAACTTTTCACCCCACCCTCCACAGCTTCAGTCGATATGCTACCCCTACATCAAGAGATCTGCTTCCCCTCAATCTCATAGCTGCTGCACGGGTCCTCACAGGGGTGGTTCAAGTGCAGGTGGCCATTGGTAAACTAGGGGTGGGGGTAGCACGATTTTCCAAGTACCGGTTCTTGGAGCTTACTAATCAGCCCCTTGGGTAGGTGATGAATCCACCTGTGTATGGAACCTTTCTCTGTGTACGGTCAGGCAGGTGGGAGGGGGTTGTGGGGGTAGGGGGGGGTGCTCTGCAGGGGTGGGGGTAAGTTAGAGGAGAGCTGTAGGTTATGGCGCGCAAGGTAGCGCTCATCACCGGAATCACCGGACAGGATGGCTCCTACCTCGCTGAGCTCCTTCTCTCAAAGGTACGGAGAGAGATCTCTACTGCCTTGGAGCAAGTCCCACGGCAAGATGTCTCTTCTGAGTGCCGACTGCGGAGGCATTGGGGGAGTAGAGTAGAGGAGTGGAAGGAAAAGGACGGGCACGCTGTGTGCTTGTGGCTAGACATGGTTTTTTGGCTGGTAGTTTCCACTCTGCATCCGTAAATATCAGTGAGAAGGTGTGTTAATTTCTATGTAGAGGAAGTTTGGTCAAGAAGAAGTGGGCAAGGAGAAAGAGGATCAGCAAAGAATTTTACTCTTAGCATTGCGATCCGAGTCTGAGACATTGTGTTCTTCATTACGTGTCCATGACTCATGATAATTTTTGTCTCAGGGATATGAAGTTCATGGCATTAAGCGCAGAGCCTCTTCATTCAACCAGGTGCAAGGAAATACATGTCCGACCGTTCTTGAACTGAGATCTAATTGCCAGGCTCGTATTGAGCACATCTATGAGAAAGCTCAAATTAACAAGGTATTTTATGTCTTCAAGCTACTATAACTGAGAAAAATCGCTCTCGCCCTCTTGCTCTACTAACTGGGTTCCTCAGGAGAAGATCCCTTTCTACACCCATTATGGTGACGTGACTGATTTGAACAACCTGGTACAAGAGTTCTCCATGGCCCATTCCAATTCCTGAGAGGTTGGCAGGTCACGCTCCTGAATAAGACACAACCTGATGAGTTTTACAACCTTGCTGCTCAAAGCCATGTTCATGTAAGTTGAGATCTTCGATGCCTTCAGCTGCCTCCCGTGACTTTCACAATATAGACTTCTTTTGAACTTCCTGTGTACACCGCACACGTTGATGGCATCGGCACCTTGCATGCTTTGGAAGCCATCCGTCAAGCTGGTCTGGCCGGCAAAACCAGATTCTATCAGGTATGCGATGAGTTTTGAACGTTCAAACCTTTTGACACCTCGACCAGGCCTCTACTTCAGAACTTTACGGAAAAATTCAAGAGCCAAAGCAGGTTCTGATAGCAATCTGTGTGCTGCTCTTGTGAAATTTGTTGCCAGAGTGAAACTACTCCCTTCTATCCTCGCTCCCCATACGCCTGTGCGAAACTTATGGCGTATTGGTGCGTGGTGAACTACCGCGAGGTTAACTCTAAATTGAGCTTGCTGTGGGGATTGACTGCATGTGCAGGCGTACAACATGTTTGCGGTGAATGGAATCCTCTTCAACCACGAGAGTCCCCGTCGTGGAGAAACATTTGTGACTCGGTCTGATCTGAGTGTGTTTGTAAGGGATTCGTGACTGTCCAAAAACAGCAAAATCACACGTGCGGTTGGTGCAATCAAGGCTGGGAAACAGACTGATGTCAGACTTGGAAATTTGCACTCCACTCGTGACTGGGGACATGCTCGTGACTACGTCGAGTGCATGTGGCTCATGCTCCAGCAGGTAACTGACAAAATCGAATGCTGTCGATTCAATCCGTTATTCCAGGACGAGCCGGAAGATTTTGTGGTTGCCACTGGCGAAACCCACTCTGTCCAGGTATTGTTGAGTTTCGACAGCGGTCAATGCCTGATTCATACTGTTCAGGAATTTTGCGACATCGCCTTCGCTCATGCCGGAATGGAGTTGAGATGGGAGGGTTCTGGACTTGACGAGGTGAGTTTGGATCGTCGATGTTTTGTTTGAATGCTCAAGTCTACTCCTTTTCTTCGACAATCATTGCAAGCATGCTCTCACTGCTGTTTTTAGGTCGGCATTGAGAAGGCCACTGGCACAGTCCGCGTTAGGGTTGACTCGAGGTATTTCCGTCCAACTGAGGTGATCCTGTTCGGAGTTGTGTGCTCTGTTGACCTCACGTGTGTATCCCAACAGGTTGATGTTCTCCTTGGCAACCCCGAGAAGGCTAGGACTAAACTCAAGTGGAACCCAACCAGCACTCCGTTCAAGAAGGTAACGATGACTGGTTTTTTTTTGTGCTGAACTCTGAGATTTCAAATATCTTTAGTTGGTTGAGGAGATGGTCGATTCAGACATCGAGGCAGCGATGAAGGTGACTCCAGCTTCTCCCTGTGCTCTTTTGTCTCACGGTGGAACAGGGAAAGTAGATGCCGCCGGACGGCGGCGGGATCAAACCACACGTCGGCGGGCCGGGTTCCTCCTTTCATTCGGATTTTTTGCTTCGGACTCAGTTGTGTAATGAAATTGAGACTCGGAACGTGACTCACCAGGTCCGTCAGAACTCTCTCGGCGAGCCACTCCTAGCGGCCCGGCCCGGTTCCGACCGGGCCGGCCCGGGCCGGGCCCGGCGTGGCACTGCGGCAGTTGACTCAGTAGCTTTCCAGCACCCCTACCCCACTCTTCCAAGGCAACTTCTGTCTCTAGGACCCCTACTGGATGTCGCCGGTCCCTGAAAACTTGCGTCCCGAAATATTATTACTCAAAACTTGGACTATTCGTCGCCACCCCTCCCTCTTAGCCAAATTTCACACAGAAAACTACCGGTAGTGCTGAAATCCTGACCCTCATCCCCATAGAACTCATAAAGCAGCTCACTGGCGATGGCGGCGGCGCTTGTGCTGCTTCTCAGCCTTCCGCCGGCCTCCATGGCCTTCATGCTCGGTCCATCCACATCTGCAACTTCCTTCTCTGCTTCTCCGCTCTCTTCCTCCGCTTCATCGAAGCTTCCTGAGATGAGCAAGCTTCGCAGCAGCACCGTCAGGCCTTCTCCCCTCACTACCAAAGCACGCGTTGCACCTACCATCCATGGCAGACACTGCCGAAGCTTTGGAAGAAGTTGTGATGAAGAAGTGCGAAAACTTCTGAGAAGTGGAAGAATCTCGTCCCTCATTGGTCAGATGTCTGCAAAACCTGCAGAGACGTCGGTTGAGGGCGCCACAACAGTCACGACAACGCAGCCAGTGCAAAAGGTGCGATCATGCTGGCTCTCAGCATTTCCTTGCATCTGAACCTTGTTCTTGGTTTGGTGTAGTGGAGAGAAGGCCAGTTCTGGCAATGGAAGACAATGAGGGTCAGGTCATATTTGTTAAAGCTCCGGAAGATCGTTGGTGTGATCGCAAGGCCAGGTATGCGAGCGTCAACCCGGAGGGAAAGAAGAACCCCATCCTGCTCATCCATGGCTTTGGAGCATCGATCGAAGTGATGTGAATGACTTGGATATGTGTGAAGTGACGAGCTGTTGGTCATCAGCACTGGAGAGACAACGTGGAGCAGCTCGCGGCCGACAGGCCGGTGTATGCCATCGACCTTCTCGGGTTTGGCTTCTCTGAGCAGCCTGACGTTCCTACCGGGGTGAGTTCCCTGTTTCATGCTTGCAAGCACAGACGCGTCAGCTGTAGCCATGCTCACCTTGACTGCAGTTCAATGTGTGGGGGGGGCACGTCTGGGCTGCGCAGATCTGCGATTTCATCAAGGAAGTGATCCTTCCTGCTTCCTTCAGCAAGCAAGTCATCTTGGCTGGAAACTCTCTGGGAGGATATTCCGCCATGTTGGCAGCAGGTAATGCAGGCGCCAGTGACCGTGCGGTGTGCTGATCTCGCCTTCCAAGGGCTCGGGTCGGCTGAAGGCATCGGGGGCCTTGTGCTGGTGAACTCCGCAGGCCCCCTGGCAGAAGATGGAAATGTCGAGCCGTACGCGGGTCTCCCGCAGGACAGCATCCTCTCAGAGATGGATGCTCCTGCGCCTCCATACACGCTGGTGGATCGTGTGCAAGAGCTGATCAAGCGGTGAGAGAACTGATTCTGCGAGGCCTAACTTGACTCGTGGCTCAGCATGATCTCCTTTGGAGGATTCCTCCTGACGAGAGAGGCAAGGATAGCATCCACACTGGCGCTGGTCTACACTGATGACAAGTCGAGGATCGATGACGATCTCGTTGATCTGATCAAGAGGCCAGCTCTCCAACCCAATGCCTTTGAAGTCTTCTTCCAGACGACCATCGGAGGAAGGGGAGGCAAGAGATATGTGACGGTCAACACTCTCTCGAATTTCGTGGAGGCGAGGAAGATTCCTACTTTGCTTCTATGGGGCGAGAACGATCCATGGATAACCAAGTCAAGGGCAGACAGAACACTACAGCTCATGCCCTCTGCCGAGTACATTGGCTTGAAGGCTGGGCACTGCCCTCATGATGAAGTGCCGCAGTTGTTCAATGAGAAACTCTTGGGTTGGCTAACAGCAAAGAGCATGTAAAATGGTGCCATGTAAGCAATACAGCATTTGAGCAAGGTTCGAACATTGTCGCAGCATCCGATGTGAACGATGGGCGTGAAGGCGTTCTCAGTGATTTCCACATACGTGTTTCTTACCATTGTGGATATTCCCTAGTCATCCGTCCACTTGTGACTAAGTGCATCATCCGATCTTCTGTTCCTTGTGATTTAGCGATACTCAGTTGGCAAGAGCCGGTTGTAAAGCCATGCCGCTGCAAGCCTGCCATAAGTGTCACATCAGGGAAATCATGCAAGCAGGACAAACCTCGAACGCATGTCTGCAGCATCGATATCATGTCCGCCCATACCGCTGTTCATCACCATTCCCCATCGCTCAACGTTGTAATCTTCACTCAGACGAGCGGCCTTCACAACAAGTCAAGAGACAATGAATGTTGAGATAGACGGAGAGCTCATGCGATCTCCAACCTTCATCGCCTCATCTGCATTAAGGAAGCCCTGGGAGAGAGCCAAGGAGAGCATCAAGGAGCCCGTGGACCCCGCGACCTGAACCGTAAACGTCAGGCAGGGCGATCGACTGGCAAACGTCTCTCACTTGATCAATCACAGTCAATCTCCAGTCAGATCGACCTAGGAGGTCATCTCGCACAGTGCTCATGATATCGTCGGGCTGCTCTGTTTGGAGCCATTCATGGCTGATCACCAGCTGCTGACAAGTCAGTGAAACCTTCCCCTCGATCGCAGAGCCCACCTTGAACTTGTAATGACTCTCTGCCCAATCACAAATTCTGCCCCAGATCTTCTCCTCCTTCTCTACAAGGTCGGGAGGATCGTTACTGCCGACGCGTCAGCTTAGCTCGAAGGGTAGTAGGAGCGCAAATCACGGCACCTTCGGAGGGTAAGTAGGTCGTTTCGGAACTGACGAAGCAATGAGGTTATGCTGTCACGTGTCCTTTCAGCCCTCTGTACAAGATACACATGGTTCTCCTCATGTCTTACGTGCTCTGCCGAACATCCGAGCGCGAGATCTGGTCAATGGACGTTGTAGCCAGGGTGGTCTGGCATGCGAAATCAGCAACCATCAGGGGTGAAAGAGCCACCGTACAAGAGGCATTGTATATGGAAGAATGTTCAGGTCCTGGACATCAAACTCCATGGCAATTGCCTTCATATCAACGTCACCAGCAACCAGAACAAGATAGACAGAAAATCTCCAACCATGGCCATGTCCTTGGTGGGCACGGTGAGTAGCTTGTTTGCAGGTGTACGAACACCACGACCATCCAACGTCAACGACCACATTGTTCTGAGCATTCCAGTCCGAGGGCAATCTTGCTTCACCTGCTGCACACCTGCCTGCTTGTAAAAGCGCTTGCTTGTCCCATCAGCTTTCAGCATGCCAAGGGGGACGTCCTTTTTCTTCATCTCCTCCTTCTTCATGTTTGCTTTCTCTTCAGATGTAGGCTCCCGTTCTGCAGCTGAACTAGACGAAGCAAGGCGATGGCCTTGCAAGCGAGACTGTACAAGCCTGCGCCCCAACGTGGGGACGGCACAGCGAACCAATGTGAAGGGAGGGAGGGCTGATGAAGAGGGGGACTGGGGAGGAGAGTAAGTTGCACATCGAGAGGAGGAGGAGAAGGAGGGGCAAGTGGAGGAGGCAGTGTTGTTCGGCTTCACCGACTGGCGCAGCCGCACAGCATGTGCAGACAGCCAGCGCAGGGACACGCGCATGCTGCTTGGGAAGAGGAAGCAGGTGTAACGGTCAAAATAACTGTTCTTGTCAACTGCCATGATATGACCATGTGGCTCTGGACTCCGAGAGCCGGGCCGGGCCGCGCGGCCCGGTCACTGACTCTCAGTGAAGTTCCGACAAGGCCGCAAGTTCATTTTCCGATTTCGCACACAGGCTCACGGTTCACAAGTTTCCGAGCAACCCAGTGACCGGGCGGGCACCCGGACGGTGGGCGGGCCCTCCCGGCGGGCCAGCCTCAGTGCCGGGCACCCGGGCCATACTCCGAGGCTCCGTGCGTGGCACTGCACCCGGGCCTGACCGTACTGCAATGGCCCACCGTCGGCGTACGGTCCCGGGCGGCTGCCCGGCCCGGCCGGCCGCCGCCGGCCGGGCAGGCCCCGCGGCGTCCGGTCCGATCGGAGTCCGCCGCGCCAGGGCCGGGCGGCAGACTCGGGCTGACTCGGACTCAGGCTAGTACCGGCCGGGCCCGGGCCGCGTACGGTCGGGCCCGGGGCCCGGGGTGAGAGCCTGTCTCACCGCCGAGTCTGGCTGGCACTGGCCCGGGTGACGACGGTCACGGTGCCAGGGGGACCCGGCGTTCCGGGATGGGGGCGCCGCCCGGCATTTGAAGTAGTTGATTGTCCTCGTATTGATTTTTAACTTAACTTTGAGTAAAGGAGTTGATCCCGGCGTTTTGCACGCCTTTTTGAATTCTTGGGACTCATCAACGAGCACCGTCAGTGAGCGAGGGGAGGGAGGCGGCTGGAGCGAAGAGGAGCGGGTCAAGGGAGGAAGAGCCTGACACGAGGAGGAAGAGAAAGGAAGAGGAGTCAGTTAGAGGACGGGCCTAGACATCAGTCAAGATGCACCTCAAGTCGTTTCTGCGGGATCGTACCAACTCTAGCCTGCCTGCAGACGGGGAATCTATGAAGAGGAGCAGCACGAGCGAGACAAAGGACCAGCAAGGATCCAAGGGCAGCATCTCGCCCAACACTCAAGAGCTGTTGAGGATGCAGAGCTTCCAAAACGAGGAGATGGCGGTGGAATTGCCGTCGCCCAGGCGACTGGAGCTGGACAAGGTATCCCCCTCGAAGGGTCAGAACCTCCCTGCATCTACAGCAGGCAGCTGCCAGAATCTTTCCCCCAACACGGCAGAGCTGCATGGGCTCGAAGACATCAACTTCGACCATGACGACTTCTCACCGACAACGCTGAATTTTGACTCCGTTTGCGCACAGCGGAACCAGATCGGGCACGACCAGCAGAGCACATCGCAGAGGAGAGACAGTGCTGCTTGCAAGGGCGTCACCAACAGCAAAGACACGGTAAAGTCGAAGATACCAACGTTGTTCCCGAAAGAGCAGCTGACGAGCAGCTCTACGACGCCGAACCCGAAAGAGAGCGAGGAGAAGCCGCTATCAAAGATTAAGGCTGCTAGCTCGCTCAACAAGAAGAGATTCGACAGTGCTTCTAAGAAAATTCAGGGAAAGATAAGCCCGAAGAGCTTCTCTGGCCCAAAGTCAATCTCTCCTCCTATCAAGCCAGCCAAGAGCGAACCGACGGCGCCGAGGCGGGAGATAGAACCGCTCCCTCAAATTTCTTCACAAAAAGTTGACAGCCCTCCTAAAAGTGCATCTTCGCCGTCGCCCAACAATGCCGACAAAGAAGGAGGAGAAACTGTTGAGACTGCGCGATCGCTGGAAAGAGAAGAGTTTGAGCCTGCCAACGAGGAGAAGACCTGCCGTTCTCCTGCAAGTGTGAAATTCGAGGTAAGGAATCTGTGGGTCCCACGCTGCTGGTGGTTGACGTCTCCCCCAGCCAGAGGACGCAAACGAACTCCTGCAAGAGGTTTGTGTTGTAGATCTCGAGCCTACTGCAAATCCCTTGACCGCTGTCGTGCAATTGCAGGAGCAGGCAGGGGGTGTTGGGACCGGGAATGAGGAGGTGGTGGTTACACCATCTGGAGTCAAGGGCTGCACTACAAACGACTCGCCTTGTGAGCTTCAATCATCAGCTGAGAAGACGCCTACGAACTCGGTTGAGGTAGCGAGTACTTTCAACCCTCTTGGCAAGGTTGACAGGAATTTCGATCAGGTCCCATATGAGAAGAGCGTGCTGCTTGAATCCTCGAGGAAGACGCAAGAGATCAAAGAAAGGTTCTTGAAGTACAAGAGGGAGCAGCTCGAAAAGTCTCAGACCAAGACGTCGTCGAGAGGTGAGATGCTTTCATGGAAGACGCCACAACAACCCCGCTGACTCGAAACTTTTCACAGTGGCTGGCTGCGAACCACGTATTGGGCAACCTGAGGAGGATATGTTTTCCTCCCCCAAGCAGGTGCAAGGTCAGCCCTCAACTCCACATAGCTCAGTCGTCAAGAGGAAGCAAGGGATCGCTCCTTGCGTTCTCGAGGATTCCTTCGTCGACTGCAACAACCCCAAGCACGAATTCTCTAAGGAGGACAAGGAGATCAGGGAGGAGAACGACACTGTGGAGAGATTCTCCAAGGTAGCGATCGTGGCCATAGCCGCAGTTTTTATCGGAATCTCCTGCGCTGTTATCCACTGGTGTTTCCATAAGGAAATGATTCAAATCCTCGCCTGAGCCTGCAGCAGCGGAGCGGATTTATCATTTATCCCGTTCATGTTGCAGATGCGAAGGAGCGGTTCTCAAGGTGGGTGTTTCGTTGAGAGAACGGTCGTGTGAGCTAAGAATATTGAAGAAGATCATGTGCAGACTAATAAAGCTATGAGAGGTTGTAAGTAGAACGGATGAAATCTGTTCGCTCGCCGTCGATAATCCTCCTGCGCTCCTGAGAAAAGTTTGAAGCCTTGTTCAGACACCAGTCAGAAGGCAGGACAAAGAATTACCTTCCAATTCACAGGGTCTCTACAGTTGATGGGCGGTATGGATGAGTCCTCAATGATGGAGAAGACTGAAACGTCTTTGAACCTCCCGTCTGCGACATCAGCTCGTCAGACCCTTCCAAAGAGCTTCTGACGCTCCGGACCGTGCGAAGCTCGGATACGCGAGACGGGGTTGAAGCTTGACAAGATCAGGATACAGCAGACCTGTCAAGCTGAATCTCACTACGGGTTCCTAGGGGATCAAGCATACTTCCAGGACGGTAGCCCCAAGATTGCAGACGAGCTCCAGTCCTGCGGTGACAGTCCCTCCTGTAGCCAGCAGATCATCCACAAGAATGACGCTGTCCCCGGGTTTCAGCGCATCTGGAGCAGGTCAATCAATGCGGATCACAGCAGTGGGAGGAGGCTGCAGACTCACCGATACGCAGGCACATGCGCTCATCATGATCCTCCTTGTACTCCTTGGTGTATCCTTCGCTCTGGACGAGGATCCCTGAGCGGAGATCACGGGACGAGCTTGCGGGCGACGGACAAGCTTCAGAAGAGGACGAGGTCACCTGGATTCTTGGAGGATTTCCTCAGGAGCACAAGTGGAACTCCCAGTTGAACAGCAAGAGGTGCCCCGATCGCAAACCCCCTGAGGTGGGCATGATTAGATAGACAGCACAGGAGATCGGGCTGACCTTGCATCGAAGGCTACAACGTGAGTTGGCTTGGACGAAGGAGCAGAGTATCGAGAGACGAGAATGTCTATCACCTGTGCGGAACACAGTTCACAGTGGCACCGGCATAGTATTTTCTGCTCATACATCTCGGAAAGCCGTCGGGTTCTAACCTCAAATCAGTGCCGACACTCGATTCACGTGGAGTGTCTTGCGTACCTCAGTTATACTTGACAGGTCGTAGAACCTCGGCACTTCTTTGGGTGAAAACTGGGGAGAGTACCACCGGAAGGCCTTGAAGCGATTAGTGGGAGATAGGGACAGAAAATAGAAACCTTTGTTATCTTTCGAATATCAGGCGATGAGGGATCTATAGCATAGGATTTCCCTTCTGCATCAGGAAGCCTCACAAGCCTCAGCCTCCTCCTGCCATCGCCCCGTCACTACTAATGGGGTCATCCTTTCCCGTCCCTCGAGACGGGACTTCCCGCACATCATCATAGTCTGCACAGCATACTAACCTCTTCTTCCTACTGGTCGACATCACTAGCATCGCTCCTCCTGCGCCCAGCGCCACCCCAACGCCCATGATGGCAGCGAGCAGTTGTGGGACACTGATCATGGCGCAGTCAGCTCAGGGAGACCCGCATCCCCACCTCATCCCATCGTATCACCTCATCCCCCTCGTTCACCGGTGGACCTCATCCCTCCACTCGCCCAATTCCTTCATGTTTCCCCTCATCCCGCACCTTCATTCCTCAATGAGACCCTACCCCCTCAACCGCTTTGAAAGCGAATCTTCGCAAAGTACCCGTCCTTTATGTTAAATAAATATCTATAAAGAACCGGTCAATTTGTAATCTGAGGTGACCCCTACCCCTGTAGATTGAAAATCTCATCACCCTCAGATCCTTCCACCAACGGAAGTAACCGTTTCTTTTTTTTCTTCGGCACGCGCGAGAGAGGGTGAGCGAGCATGCACGAGGGGAAGGAGGAGAGGCATGAGTGAAGCTGGCGGGGGCGGGGCAATGCAAGAGGAGGCTTGAAGGCAGCTGGGCATGTTTCACTGGAGAGATCATGCCGATCAGTGTGTGTAATGTTCTGTCATACTGTGGTGTATGGGATTGATGCAACATTTTGACACCAGGCATTCTTTTCGTTGTGGTGTTGGTTGATGGAATAGAAAATTCGATTATTGACTCGATTGCATATGTTTCGTGAGCATCATACAGTGCAAAGAAACTGTGTGTGACGAGTTTGTGATTCTCTTTCTATAACAAAGTATGCCGTGACATATTTGTGCGATTGGTTCTGGGTACGTGAAAGCTGATGTACAAGGACCCTACACACAGACATGGAAATGGCCTTGTGATCCACCGTGCATTGTTTCTGTTCAAAACTTTAATGCCATTGAACCATGAGGTTACATGTTCTGATCTTATCCGTGCAGGATGGCTGTTGGCTCTAGAAGCAAGTTGAGACCGGCGGTTCGCCCTAAAATTGTCAAGAAGAAATCGAACAAGTTCGTTCGTTTCCATGCCGACCTTTTCAAGAGAATGGCTGTGAGTTGAGAAAATCTTCCCGTTCTCGAAGCTTATGCTGGATTTCACAGCAATCCTGGAGGAAGCCCCACGGTATGGATGGTCGCTTCCGTAGGCATTTTAAGGGTACTCCCAAGCACGTCAAGATCGGATATGGTTCCAACAAGAAAACGCGTTTCTTGATGCCGGATGGTTTCCTCAAGTTCCGTGTCTCCAACGTTGCCGAGTTGGAACTTCTCCTTATGCACAACAAGAAGTATGCTGCTGGTGAGGATAAGAAACATTCTTTCCCCTGTTGCTTTGCTCATTCTCACTGTGTGCTTGCAGAGATCGCACAGAACGTTTCTACCAGGAAGAGGAAGGCTATCGTCGAGCGTGCTGAGCAACTTGGGATCAAGGTTACCAACGGCGACGCTAAGTTGCGCGCTGAGGAGTCAGAATAAATATATCGGGGTAGAATGAAAGGGCTAGAGTCAACAAACTATTGATCAGGATGTCGATTGAGATTGACAACGATTGTGTGGATTTGCTTGCGATCCGCATGCAGCATCTGTCGCCGTGTGTGAGAATATCATCGCTTTATGAAAGCCCGGAGGCAACTCGACCATGAAACACAACACACGCATCACACAACCATGTACATTACACATTCGTTGTCGGCTTTGATGTGTGACACATTTTCTTGTGGAACACACTTGTGGAAGGATCGATCGATATGTACACGTTGATTTACTTTAAATGACACGGTGAATTGCTCACTACAGCCACTGTTGACCTGGCTTATCCGCATGATGAGTGGTGGCATTCTTGAAAATCATCATTCAGCCATAAAGAAGAAATCAACTTATCCGGTCCATGCATGGAAGCAACCTGTAGAAAATCATACATGAGAAACAGAAAGATTTGAAGCGCAACATCCAGAAAAAGGGAAACTACGGCTCAGAGCAAAGATGACAATGGTTTTCTCAGCATCGGCACAACGGCCCTTTGCATGGGAAGAACTTTGATTGTATTTGCTTCATCATAGCCAAACTCAGGGATCATATGTGGAGACAATGAGGTCGAGGACGGGATAAGATTATGCCAAAATGAAAAATTAGAGCCACATTTACATGAGGCAACCAAACATGAAAGATCAAGAATCACAGGATGAGCAGGAAATAATGGTAAAATCATACGCAAACATTGCTTCCTCATAACAAATTGCAAGAGATCAACAGCAACACCATAGCTTTCACTTCTTACTTGGCTCCATCGCACGCGCCTTCGATCGACAAAGCCCTCATCCCCAACTTCCCCGAAATTTTCTGATCTGAGGCAGGCTTGAGTAGAACCTTAGCGGGACTATAAAACCCCGGAGGACCGGGCCCCGGCCGACCGTGAGGCTGCTACTTTTGACTAGCATCCCCGGGCCTCACCGGAACGACGGACCCTGCCAGTCATGCACACCGTGGCACGCCCGTCCCGTCCACGGCCCCCTCGAGCTCTCGACGCTTCCATCACGGTCCTTTACTACCCGCTCGGACAAACGCGCCGGCGCATTGCACATCAGAGTGCAGCGCTTGGGGCCAGGACATTCCTTTCGTAGGGATCGGCTCCTGTAGTAATCTACTCCTTCCCTTTGCTCCTGCTCCCCTCCTCCATATCAACCCTTGCCCAAGCCGGAATAAAACACCCAGCTCCCCCTGCCACGGCCTACCTGCTTCCGCCGTCTGCTCGCTCCTTCCTGGCTGTCCATACCTGTCCTCCTGCACACCCCAGCCCTCTCCCCCTAGTCCCTACCCCCTCCTCGCTTTCTCGATCCCTGCTTTCCTCCCTTCCAGACAATGCAGTGGCTACACTTGACCCCCTCGTCCTTGGAGCTCCAGGCCATGCTCGATGACTGCTTTGCAGACCATCTCATGGATCAGTCACCTAGCTGCTCAGACGCCTTCTTTTGCCTCCCGCTCCCCGAGGTCGACTCGTCGGCCTCCCTCCCGGACTCGCCCTTGGACCCCGTCGTGCCGGAAGATCTCTTGGTGCTCTTCGAGGAGAGCCAGGACGCGTGGCTCGAGCCAGCGTCGCTGATGGCTTGCCAGCGTAGCGTCGCGATGCCAGAGGAGACTCTCCAGCACCCCCACGACAGCTTCAGCCTCTGCTCTCCCGAGCAAGGCAAGCCTCGGCCTCATCGCCGCGCTTCGGCTCCCGCCCGCCCGCCCGTAGTGCGGATGCAGTCGCGGCAGTCCTTCTTCCAGTCCGACAAGCCCGTCGAGATCACCCTCGAGCTCCTCGCCGACCACTTCCACGAGAGCCTCGAGGTCGCCGCGGCCAAGATCGGCATCGGCAAGTCGACGATGAAGCTTGTGTGCAGGCAGCTGGGAGTAGACAAGTGGCCGTACAAGTTTGGTCGGGCCAAGGGAAAGAAGGCTGGGCGGAGAATGGAGGGACGCGTGCAGCTGCGAGCCAGCCAGGCAGAGTCGTCAACGGACACGGAGGGGAGCGGAGTAGACATGTACTTGTAACTTAGAGGCCCTTTGCTGCTTGAGAAGATTGAATGAAGCATGTTTTGAGCTGAATGAAGCATCATCGCCGTCAGTGTGTGGAACGGAAAGGGCTGGCACCTTGATGCTGCTGAGGGTGTGATGGAGCTGGTGGAGCTCAAGGACAGGCGAGATTGTTGGCGGCTAGACAGCTGTTTGGCTACAAAGGAGGCGGCCCGGCCCGGGGCAAGCTTGCTCGCAGAGTTGACAGAAAGGTCATGGCGGCGTTGAGTGGAAGGGTGCCACGAGCATGGGCCTGGTGAGGGGTTTGGCTCTTGAGGCCCTGCAGGCTTCATCTCTACCATGGTATGCATGCGTGCGGTAGGAGCCTTGAGTGCGATGGAAGGCACCGGCGAAGCGACCAAAGACTCTCTAGTTGCACAGCTCATTTATTTACATTCTTTCATACGGCCTTGCACGCTCTCGCCCGATAGAGATCTCCTCGAGTCGCGCGCCGATGATGCCTCGTCAAGGCTTGGCCTCACTTTGCGCTTGGCCTCACTTTGCGCTTGGCCCGTCCAAACTTGTACGGCCACTTGTCTACTCCCAGCTGCCTGCACACAAGCTTCATCGTCGACTTGCCGATGCCGATCTTGGCCGCGGCGACCTCGAGGCTTTCGTGGAAGTGGTCGGCGAGGAGCTCGAGGGTGATCTCGACGGGCTTGTCGGACTGGAAGAAGGACTGCCGCGACTGCACCCGCACCACCGGCGGGCACATCTTTGACCGCGGACAAGACCGCCGGTCGCGAGCACTGAGAGGGTCAGGATCCAGCTCGGAGTGCACGGCGGCGGGGGAGGGACTGAGGGTCTTGCAGTAGCAGCCAGTCGCGTGTAGCGCTGCGTCTCCAGGGAGGCTGGCAGGACCCAAACCCTCAACATCCGAGCACTCGAGGGTCCAAGCATCCTGAGAAAGGGCCGAGTCCTCCTCTACTTGCAAGCTTGTGGAGCTCTCAGGGGCGGACGCGGGGTCCTCGGCTTGAGGTAGTGGGAGGCGGAAGGGATGTGAGAGGATCAGGTCGTAGCAGTCGTCTGCACACATCTCGAAGAGAGCCATTCGATCTGTCCTGCCGCTGTTGTTTGCTGCCAGATGCCTCTCAGGGAGAGAAGGATGGAGACTAGGGCGTAGTAAAGAGTAGCAGGCTGAAAGGACAGCGTTTTGAGAGGATCTGTGCACAACGGCTATCCAATCGTTGAGCCTTGAAAAGACTGCCATGTCAGTATTCGGTCTGGCATGCACACGTCCGTCCCGTCCACGGCCCCCTCGAGCTCTCGAAGCTTCCATCGGGGTCCTTTACTACCCGCTCGGACAAACGCGCCGGCGCATTGCACATCAGAGTGCAGCGCTTGGGGCCAGGACATTCCAGGTCGCATCGTTTCGTAGGGATCGGCTCCTGTAGTAATCTACTCCTTCCCTTTGCTCCTGCTCCCCTCCTCCATATCAACCCTTGCCCAAGCCGGCACAAAACACCCAGCTCCCCCTGCCACGGCCTACCTGCTTCCGCCGTCTGCTCGCTCCTTCCTGGCTGTCCATACCTGTCCTCCTGCACACCCCAGCCCTCTCCCCCTAGTCCCTACCCCCTCCTCGCTTTCTCGATCCCTGCTTTCCTCCCTTCCAGACAATGCAGTGGCTACACTTGACCCCCTCGTCCTTGGAGCTCCAGGCCATGCTCGATGACTGCTTTGCAGACCACCTCATGGATCAGTCACCTAGCTGCTCAGACGCCTTCTTTTGCCTCCCGCTCCCCGAGGTCGACTCGTCGGCCTCCCTCCCGGACTCGCCCTTGGACCCCGTCGTGCCGGAAGATCTCTTGGTGCTCTTCGAGGAGAGCCAGGACGCGTGGCTCGAGCCAGCGTCGCTGATGGCTTGCCAGCGTAGCGTCGCGATGCCAGAGGAGACTCTCCAGCACCCCCACGACAGCTTCAGCCTCTGCTCTCCCGAGCAAGGCAAGCCTCGGCCTCATCGCCGCGCTTCGGCTCCCGCCCGCCCGCCGGTGGTGCGGGTGCAGTCGCGACAGTCCTTCTTCCAGTCCGACAAGCCCGTCGAGATCACCCTCGAGCTCCTCGCCGACCACTTCCACGAGAGCCTCGAGGTCGCCGCGGCCAAGATCGGCATCGGCAAGTCGACGATGAAGCTTGTGTGCAGGCAGCTGGGAGTAGACAAGTGGCCGTACAAGTTTGGTCGGGCCAAGGGAAAGAAGGCTGGGCGGAGAATGGAGGGACGCGTGCAGCTGCAAGCCAGCCAGGCAGAGTCGTCAACGGACACGGAGGGGAGCGGAGTAGACATGTACTTGTAACTTAGAGGCCCTTTGCTGCTTGAGAAGATTGAATGAAGCATGTTTTGAGCTGAATGAAGCATCATCGCCGTCAGTGTGTGGAACATGAAGGGCTGGCACGTTGTTGCTGCTGAGGGTGTGATGGAGCTTGTGGAGCTCAAGGACAGGCAACCCGGGGCAAGCTTGCTCGCAGAGTTTACAGTACATTTGCACATCACAGGTTGCCACCTCTAATTGGCGTACCGAACACGCCTTTTCTTATATTGTGAATTGCAATTGTAGGTATTATTATTATTCAAATTCTGCCCTCGCCCTTTCCCCACCAATCGCGCGCGCAGCTACCATGGAGCAACCTGTGGAGGCTGAAGACCCCATCGGCGCTCCACCACGAGTTGGAACAGACGTTGAAGGACCTCAGGGGGATGGGGAACAACGCAAGCTGGAGATCATCTTACAATGCGTCATGCAATTCCACGATGGAGCCATATTTGACGAGGTGAAGAAGGAGAAGACGATGAAGCAGGTTCAGGAGATGCTCAACGGGCATCCTATGTTTGCAGGGCAGCTCATGTTGAACACCTTGAAGGACAAATGGCGCAAGATTGAGAAACGAGCTGAGGAAATCGCTAACGGAGGGGAGGAAAAGTGGGTGAGGCTGTGGCAGAATGGTGACGGGGAACTCTCAGAGATGCACAAGCTCATTCTCGATCTGGCCGGGAGGATGAGGGCGATGAAAGACAGGAAGGAGTGGGAGAAGAGAGATGCTGAGGGGATGCAGAAGAACGCGAGGAAGAGGCTGCTGGAGGCTATGGAGACCACAGCTAAACGCCGTGGTTATAACAACGCTGCACAGGCTGAGGAGTGGTTGGAGGAAGAGGGAGGCAGCTATGGGCGTGGCACCTCAGGCGGTCTGCAGAAGCGCGCCAAGCAGGATCCAGCTCTCCATCCCAACAGGAAAGGGCCCAACCACAACAGCCGCAGCCTGTCCAGCGACCGTGTTGCGTTGGTGCTCGGTCAGCAAGACCGCCTGTGCAATGTGCTGGAGTCCTCACTGGCAAATGACATAGCAGTTCTTGAGCAGTTTTGGAAGGCACAAATCCTGATGGCCCGTGCAGCCAAGATGAATGCGCAAGCTGCTCGCACCAAGGAGGTAGCCGCTGCGATCAACGCCTTTGTGGCTGCCCAGGAGAAGGGTGTGTACCTCCCACGTGGTCTGATGAAGCTGCTGGAGGACGACTAGCGCGCGAGTAAGGGTTTTTTATTGAAACTCATCTGCCAACGAGATATGATCCTCCACAGACACACCCAACAACATCTGCTCCCCTTCGAAGTATACAGTTGTCTGGTTCCCGTAAAGCAGAGTGTGGAGGTTGAAGTGGAACTTCGCCAGAGGAAAGAGCTTCCCAACCCGCTGGCTCCCCAAACGCAGATTAACGCCCCATGAGGGCGTTAATCTGAGGGCGTTGTACCTCCTCTGCAGGCGCGTGAGCTCCCCTTCTCCTGGAGCCTTCAAGATGCGCTGCATGAAGCGGTGAAGGATCCCCAAAGCCGCAGAAGTCCATCCCCTCCTCCGCTGACACCTCCCGCAAAGTGTCAAGAACGCCAGACCGTGAAAACGTTGTTGCATCGTGTTCAGACCCCTCCAAGGCCCCCACACGCAGCACATCCCATTGGGGAAGACGCAAGCCTGATACTTCACCCCGTGCAGCCTCGCCTTCCCGGCAAACGTCTGCCTGTCCTGGAGCGTCAAGTTCCAGTTAGCCCCCCCCTCCTCCCCCTGTCGGCACGTGGGCTGGAAATGACCGTCAAAAATCGCGACCAGTATTTCACTGAGTCATGAGCCTCAACCCCAACCGCGCAGGCCCGGAGCAGCAAATTGCAAGTTGGCGAAAGTCATGCCGGACTCGCCCTTGGACCCCGTCGTGCCGGAGGATCTCCTGGTGCTCTTGCCTCGACTTCATCGAGTCGCCGCGCTTCGGCTCCCGCCCGCGGCCCCGGCGTCGGCCCCAGCACTGCGGCAGTCGCGGCCGGCGGTGACTGCGGCAGTCCTTCTTCCGACAGGCCCGCCGAGGCTTTTAATCTTTCGGGGACACAAATTGCAGACCTTGATTTTTGCCGTTTTCTTGATTTTCGGCAAGTTTTCTTAGGGTTAGGGAAATTAATAGGGTAGGGGTCCATCGCTTTTTGATTTGTCCCGGTTGCTTCAAAGCACAAAGCAGTCAAAGTATAGGGTAGGGGTATTTGGAGATGTGGTGGGGGTCTATTTACTGCCGAACAATGGCGCGCGGTAGTCGCAGGAAAGCTGATGATGAGGATGTAGCTTGATATTTTAACATGTTTCTTGCACTTGAATCACAACCAAGATCATTCTAAAAGTATATGACTCACGAGAAAGTTGTAACATCATGAGTTATTCATCATGTTGTAATATGAAAATGTGATTTGGTCGCCTCGCCAAACTCATGAACCCTAAACCCAAAGATGGCAATGGAAGCATGTTGAGTGTGTTGAACACTTCATTCGATTGCATTTTCATATTATGAATATATTGCAAGCATGTCGAAGTTCATCAAACTGATTCAACAGTTCTTTTTGTCATCGGTAATCATTGTCGATTCGTACTGCATTTTCTTCTCTACATTCTGAATGCGATGAAAGATCATTCAAGTGCACTAATCCCCACCTGAACCGATGTTTTACACTCTGTTGAACCTGTCCAAGTCAGAGATAGTTGAGTGTAGGCTTATTACACAACGACAAATGGACTTTTTATACAGTTTTTCTGCTTGTAAATTCCTGACACAACGAATTCAGACCGAATGTCAGTGTGAATAGACTGGAATCATGAAGCTGCACAACGCTCAAACCCTTATGATCTCGAAATCTATATCTATGACTGACAATTCCTTTCATTCTCTTGCGTATTGTACCTTGTTTGTATTTCTCGCTCATGATTTTGTTGGGATTGTCTGCTAAATGTGAATTTCCAACATTGGATCGGTTTACATTGTTCATGATTTTGTTTCCACATTTATGAACCAAAACCAGAGAGCAACCATCTTCAATCATCTCAAGGAAGCACATGCAAAGCATCACGAGCCTCGACAATGGGAAAATGCTTCAATTTTGCATTACGAAACTATTTCGTTGACCTCCCCTCTTCGACACATACTTGCAATTATGCTAGAGTGACAACATGGAACGTCAAAGAATTTAAGAAAATCTGAATCAGAATCATACAAGAGGTGATCACCTTTGTATTCTAGATGGTTGCGTTGGTGGTTCATGATCAATTGCGTCCGCAAATGCATGATTTGGAAGGGGCCTCTTTTTCACCTTCTGCAACCAAGTTTGACGCGAGGTCTGAATAAAACACCTGTCCGCGTTCAAACTCGGCGGCTCTGTCACAGAAAGTCTACTCCACGCATCAAACTGCAATGGTAGACATAGTTTTAGGTGTTCATCATTGGGATTGACAAGTTTCTTCACAAGTTTCAAGAATACTGTTCGAAATTCAAGCGTGGAAGTGGAGTATTATCTCCATGTTTGCTGTGATAGCAGCTTTCTTTCAGATACGAACTGAGTTCCAGATGCCTAAATCGAGTTCCATGAGTCGAGCAATGAATATCCGAGTGAACAACTGGAGTTTCCTACATGAAAAGCCTGGGCAAACCTCAGTTCCAACATTCCTGCACTCGTATCAACACCAACATTCGCGAGCCCATGAAAGCATCATATTCTCACCTCAATATGAATTATCCATGTGTAAACAAAGGCTTCCAAGTACCACATTCATTGACGGTTGATATCGTCATGACACTGACGTTAGGTTCAACTCGTTTTTAGATGCCTACTTGATGAGCATGACAGAACTAGCGAGGACTACATAGCAAATTGTGAATTTCCTTCCACAGCACAAACTCGAAGATTCCTCCGGCACGGCAGCTCAATCCGTCTCCAAACCAACTGTCTATTGGAGGGGTGTCCATGAAATACCAAAACAACCCAGACTTCACCGCTCCCCGTGAAATCTTCCCCAAACGCCACATCAAAATATGCAGAAAAAAGCAAATTTTGTGAATTTGCTGATTTCGATCGCACAAAAAACAATGAATATAGCTCTGATGATCCAGTTTTCACTATCTGAAGTTCGATTAGGTACCTATGATTCAATTCTAGTCCTTCATACAACCGTTTCACACTGCGCGACATGCCTGCAAGCACTTTCATAAATTGTTTGCAGCACATGCTTTTCGATAACAAAACGGCGATTTCCCAGATTTTGTCATCTTCAAGTTGTCTTATCTCAGCAATGGATGGGTCTCTTCTTGTGCGGTTTTCATCAACGGAACGTGCCCGTCCTCCTCTTTCGTATGCCACCATTTTCGCGCCCTCTCCGTTTCGGAAGATGCTGTATGAGGGTCTTCAAATCAGGGCCCTTTGGGGGGATTTGGGCCCCACTCAAGGGGCCCTGTGTCCCCGAAAGATTAACTTAACTTTGAGTAAAGAAGAACCGTACTGCTGAGTTGCCGTTTCAGACTAACGGAATCAAATTTTGAACGGGCGTCCTGTAACCGTCCATTGCAAGATACCCCCTACCCTCTCAATAGAAGATCATAGTACCGGTGTACAAGTACCCCATACCTTTTCTCGGTGAGGACCCTCCAACGGTACCTTATCAAAGCAGCTGAGGGATGGGGTACCACCCTCACCCCCTCATTTGTGGGTCAATTTCTGGGTACAGAGTCTTGAAATGGTTCAAGCCCTACTCGCAGCACACTGAAGGTTGGCGATGTGGACCGGTGGGGGTAGTAGAGAATGGAGGGTAGGTAGTCAAGTTTTCAATGGGGTGGGGTGGATGTTGAGAGATAGGGTGGGATACAGATTGGTAGCACCGGTCAGTCTCTTAACCCTGCAAACATGGCTCCAAAAGGGGGTACTGCCGATTGAAGCCCATTGACGATCGCGTCTGATGAAACGGGGTAGGGCCTGTTTCCTCAATTGGGGGTAGGGGTATATACCCTACTTGACAATCACATTAGGGGCACATTGGTAGGATTAGTAGAGGTACTCTTGAGCCTGGGTGGGTGGTGAGTTCCAACGTAATTTCCTGGTAGGGTAGTCAAACTGTAGTAAAGAATGGGGTGAATGGTCGTTTGGGTACTTCAATCTTGCAGAAAAGGGTGGGGTTATTTGTGGGAACAGAAGGGGTGTGTGAAAATTTGGGTGGGTAACGGCACGGCCTGCTCGACAAGGCAATTCAGAAATAGGGGTGGGGCAAGGGAGGTGGGTGGGTGTTTTGGAGGGTGCTGGTGAGAGGGTTTAGGGGTCAATGCAGGAAAGCAAAGATGTGCTGAGTGCGATGGGGGAGTGGGAGGGGAAGAAGTGGAGGAGGAGGAGAAGGCACGATTATATCGAGTAGAATGATAGAAAGCGGGAAAGGGACAGATGGAGCAGTAAGGAGGGGGCACCACTGCGTAATGGGACAGGTGGAGGATTCAAGGTACTTGTCCAGGTTTCCGGGTCAAGGATGATAACAGATCGAAAGAGACAAAGCGAGTCAAAGCTTGTTGCAGAGACAGGGCAGAAGCAATTAGAAATGATCTTAAGGAAAAAAGAATCAATGAGCATGCAATCCATGTGACAAGAGTAGATGGAATACACCAGAAAAAGCCGTTTGAGGTAGTGTGGTATGAGGAAAGGACGAGAAAAGAAAATATTATGAACGTGAGAAATCTTTGAAAGCATAATGCAAACAGATTGGAATTGTCCTAAAGAGAAGGGGTAAGGGATTCTCTTAGTCTGAGAATTGTTCGGTGCAGATTTAGGATTTAGACGTTGGACCTTGTTTAACGGTAATTTGCAAAAGATGAAAGAGAGTGTAGGTGACGAAATCATATTGCGAAACAGACAATAGATTATTATTCCCTGCTGCTTTTTGAACTCTACATTCCGTTGAGTGTGCATAATTTTCATAAAACTTGAATTTCCATTGCGCTGGACGCTTACGAGATCCATGAAGATCGTGTACTGATCCCCTTTTTTGTAGGTGTGTTGATATTGTCATCATGAGTGAAAGTGGTGTATCTCAGAATGAAGGCCATGGTGCAGCAAGACGCTCAGAAATTTCTCTTAACACACCTTTGATTTCTGAGGATTCTTTCCGAACAAAGAAACGAAATTTTGAGTCCTTGGAGCTGATCTACCACAGTCCGTTGCAGTCTCGAAGCTCTGTGATCGATGATTCTCGGGAACGCTCAAGCCTGCAAGTCGACAATTCTTTGTTTTCAACCATCCCAGATGATGTCTATATTCACATTCTACAAAATTTGTCAATTAGCGATCTTGCCCTGGCTTCACAAGTCAATCATCGGCAACGAAGGTTGTGCTCTTGTGATTTGATATGGAAGAACAACTGCTACAAGGATTTCGGGGATGATGCTGAAGAACTGATCAATGCATATGAGAACGTGGTGGACCGGACTTGCGTGCCATACTTTCAAGCACTTTATAGAAAAATGTTGGGGTTTGAGATCGAGCTGCATTTTACCAGTGGTCCACGATTGGGGAATGTTATCAAGGTATTTAGCCCTTGTCTCAGCTTTGTTTCCTCAACCTCTGTCTCAGGTTCCAAATGGAAAGATGATATCGATCGGCAGATCAAGAAAGAACGACATCTGCATACTTCAGGTGAGCCCTGCTCCTTTTCAAACTTGAAGCATCTGACTCGTGCATGGAAAGGATGAGATGGTTTCGAGGAGTCATGGTCAGATTCGCTACAAGGATAGAAGATTCTGGCTAACGGACCTCGGGAGTATCAATGGCACATTTATTCGACAGGTCTGAAAACTTTTTCCAAATTTCCCTTCCCTGCTCTGTGACGTCCTCTCCCTCTAAATCTTCTGTCAAGTCTGAAATCTCGTCACAGAAAGGGGTACAGCGAGCATTGACGAAAGAAGCTCCTGTACAGCTGGAGTTGAGGGATGAAGTTGAAATGGGAAACTCCATCTTTGTCGTTGAACTAGCACATCCTTCGCCCCTTGATGGATCAGAGGCAACGACACCACAAGAGAAGATGGCTGGGGGAGACGGAAGCTCTCATGATCAGTTTGGTCAGGAGCAGTACAGTCCGTAGCCCATCTCGTGAGGAGTTCCAAATCTTGCGAGGTTGTACACTGATAGGGACACCTAGACTAACTTAACGACATTCAATGATGATTCTCACAGACAACAGTAGGAATGATATTATCTCAACACAACCAATGAAACGACAACAATGTAAACAACACAATGTGCACTTGCGTCATGCTCATTCATCCTCTCCTGCGCTTCCGTGGTTGGCTCCCCTCGCTCTCATCTGCTCGTGAATTTGCTCCGTCCACAGATTCTCCATCTATCCCTTCTGCTCCCTCAGACCGTCTTCCCCTTGAGCGCTTCCTTCCTTCATCACCATTCGCCTCTGGCGCCACCAGTGGCGGCCTTCCCCTTCCTCTCCCTCTCCCTCTTCCCCTTCCTCTCCCTCTCGACGCCTCAACCGGGGCTTGCGTTTCCTTGGGTTCCGGGATGGTGGCGGCCGGTGGTGGAGCCTCAGGTTGTGGTTTCTTGTGCTCGGCAAAAATCCCTTCTACTTCAGGCAGATCATCTGGAGGCAGAACGATTCGGCTCCATGTGAGCAGCTCACGATCTCGCTTCAAGCAGACGGCGCATGTCCACTCCTTGACGTCGATCTCGTCGTCGAACCCTGAGCAGTACGAGTGGAACGAGCGGATACACTTCTTGCAGTTGAAGAGAGGGTTGGCAGGGTCAGACCCGAAGCCGCAGACATCGCAGAAGTCCGTGTCGAAGATGCTACATTGCGGCTTGCTTAGGTACTCCTCCTTGAGGCGATTGAAGTCTCCTGTGCACTTGGGGCACTTGTAGAGCTCAGGAAGGTCGTTGGCGTTGACCCTCAAGCACTGCTCGTGGTATGCACAGTCACAGAAGTCACAGCAGATGAGATTGCCGCCGTCCCTGCACAGCTCACAGTAATCCTTGTTGTGGTCCACTGGCTGTGCGGCAGGTGCAGCTTTAGGGGTTGCCTTAGCCTTGGATGGAGTCTTCTCTTCTTCCCCGAGGTTGGATTCATCATCAGAGTTGTCGCTGTCCAGCTCTTGATTCTTTCTCTTGGAACGTCCTCGTCCTCGTTCCTTTACAACGGCGATGGTGTCCTCGTCCGAAGAGTCCACGTCGCTGCTGTGAGAGATGTCCTCCTCCTTGTAGCTCGCAGTCTTCCGCATCCTGCTCTTGCGTGAAGCTTTCTCGGCCCTCTCCAGCTCCTTCTTCCTGCTCGCAGAAGTCTTATCGTCCTCTTCATATTTGAGCCACGACGGCACTTCATCTTCCGTCATCAGGTCCGGCTGACTCGAGCGACTCTGTAGCTCATGGTCATGCTCCTGGAACATCCTGAACTCCATCTCATCCCTTGCAAGCTCTTGATTCATCGCCTCCTTGGACAGTACGTCGGCCTTAGTTGTGTTCGTTGCCCTACTGAAGATCTTCCGGAGAAATTCGTGACGATCCTCTACAGTAGCCTTTTCGTTGAACATTCCTCCGTCTATTGCTGCTCCTCCTAGCTCCTTCTTGTAAGTAGCCTTCTCAAGAATGTCTTCCTCCAATGTGTTGGCGCAGGTCAACCGGAGCACGCGAACCTCTCTCGTCTGCCCGATGCGGTGCGCACGATCTTGTGCCTGCATGTCCATCTGCGGGTTCCAGTCGCTATCGAAGATGATCACGGTATCGGCAGCTGGCAGATTGAGACCTAGGCCTCCGGCCCTGGTACTGAGGATGAAGATCGCGTAGGGGGACTCAGGAGAGTTAAAGATCTCAATCAGCTCTCCTCTTCGTTGCGAGTCTGTGCTCCCATCCAAGCGGAGGTACCTGTGGCCGCACGCCTTGAGAAAGTCTCCCAGGATGTCCATTAGCCTGGTCATCTGGCAGAAGACGAGGACTCGATGCCCCGTGCTCCTCAACTTCGGAAGCATGCGGTAAAGGAGCTCGAATTTTCCGGACGAACGAACCAACTCTGTGGAACGAGAAAGAAAGGTCAGGGGAGAAGAAATCTCACTAGTGGCAATGCTTGCCTGAGCAGAATCTCTCAGGTCGTTGATCGTACCAGAAGAGATAAGGATGATTGCAAGCTTTTCGAAGCTCCATCATGATATTGGTTGCCGTCTTCTTCTTTGTCGGCTGGGTCCCGTCTGAGGGCTGAAGCGCAACGATGCCGTTTTCTCTTATCCCACTGTACAGGCGCCACTGGCACGCAGACATATTGCACTTGATCACCTTCTCCACCTTTGGCTTCAGCTCTCCTTCAACTTCACTTTTCAACCTTCGGAGGAGGAAAGGACGGAGGACCTGATGAAAGATTTTCACACAACGACTCTCTCCAAATCAAAGAGAGCAGCGAGTCACCTGGTGCAATCGATCTATCAACAGGAGACGCTCCTCTTCATCCATTTCATTCGTGTCCCCCGTGGCCCCCATGATGTCTCCAGAGTTGAACCATTCTTCGAAGTTAGAGTCGTGCCGGAAGATATCAGGGAGAAGGAAGTTGAGCAACGACCACAGCTCATTCAGGTTGTTCTGCAGCGGCGTTCCTGTGATCAAAATGCGATACTTGGAAGGAAACCTGCAAGACTGGTTCAGGTGCTGGCAATCTCGATCATGCAATTTTCATACTTGGTGCTTAAGGTCGTGGTGAGCCTTGATTTCCCATTCTTCATGCGATGACCTTCATCCACAATAATGTACACCCAGTTGATCTTGCTCATGAAGGAGGCGTCTTTCACCACGAACTCGTAGCTCGTCAACATCACGTTGAAAGTCCCTTTGTGACATTCTTGCTGCATCTTTTTCCTTGACGGCTTGCTGCCGTAGTAGATGATCTTCTTCACGGTCGGCGACCAGGCGTCGAATTCCCTCACCCAGTTATCAATCACAGATAACGGCGAGACGATCAGGAAAGGCCCATTCACACCCTTCACCTCCATAAGGTATGCTATCAAAGAAACTATCTGGATGGTCTTCCCTAAACCCATCTCATCTGCCAGTACCTGACCGGAGCAACGTCATCTCGAGAGGAATGGGAACATTGGGAGAGCACTCACCCCAGAAATCTTGTTATTGTACAAGGAAACAAGCCATTGCAGGCCCTGCATCTGATACTGTCGCAAAGAGCCGCCAACGAGCATGTCCGGCTGCGAGTTGACTTCCTCTTTCTCAGTGTGAGCCAGGTGATAATAAGTGTTCTTGTTCTTCATGAGTGCCTTCACATCCACCTCGTTGGTGTTCTTGATATCGGTTCTTTCGAACTCGTTCTTGTCAAACTTGAAATCCACAGAATCAGAGGTGCAACCGGAATGTCAGGGAATAATGACTCACGTCATCGTCTTCACCATCACTAACATCCATCGACTTGCTGTTTTTCAGTCTTTTTTCAGTGTTTTTCTTCTGAACTCTGACCTGTAAGGCTCAAATTAAGCAAAGAATCCTAGATTGACTTCAAAATACCGCAAGACCAAGAGTACGAAGGTATTTGTCGGTTTCCGATAGAACATTCAAAATCTTTTCATTTTTGTGCTCTTTCAGCAAGTTCAAGTATGCTTCAGTATCGTGCTCCTTCAGCGCCCTTATCCTATCCTTTTCTGCTTTTTCCTTCCTCCTCCTCTCTCTTTCAACTTTGTCTTCAACCTGCTTCTTGGCCAATTTCGCCAATTCCTTTTCCTTCTCTCGAATCTTTTTGTGGTATTCGGTAAAGAAATGATAATGACCCTTGACTTCGTTCAAGAAAGCCTGCTTTTTCCTCTGGTAGAGTCGCATATTTACATTGAGCGACACGGAAGTGGACGGTCTAGCGATCGTCTGCCATCATGGTCACTCAATCAAAGAGGTATGCAAATAAAAATTACGGATAAATTGAACTTGGATGAAAGGTCTACATCCAACTTATCACTACTTGCAATTTCCTTTGGCAGATTGAGTCGAAGACTGTTGCATAGTTTCTCTCTCAAGCGTGCTTGAAGTCCAAGCAATTTAAGCTTCTTTTCTTCAATCTGTAAAAACGGCAACAGTCAGATGACAACAGTCACGATCTCAGACAACACTGAAAATCATCTCAAGTGTGCACTGGGCATCAAATGTGATGGATCTGTAGATCAAAAGAAAGCAATTAATGTTATACCTGTAAAACATTCAATTCTTTGCGACTTCTTCTCTCGGCTGTTTCTGCGCTTGATTCCGAAGGCAGCGTATTTGCATTCAAGCTGTTCTTAATTGCTTCCAGGCATTTCTCTCGCATCGTTTTGCTCCTCAGAATGTTCCGCCCCAAGGAATTGTCATACGCACTTTGCTGGTTTGAATCGTCTTTTCTAGGCTTCAAAACCTGACCAGCAAAGTCAAAAAAAACATGAAATGAATTGATCCTACCGCATATGGTGATTCTTGTCTCTCATTCCATTGGTTTGAATCCATTCCACTTCCCTGATTCTCAACATCTCTATTGGATGATCTGGATACGTTCGAGGAGTGACTCATTTTCCTTGAAGGAGCATCTCCGTTTTCAGAGGCAGTTAACGAGTTTCTTTTCTTCTGCCCCCCCCGACCCGACGGAGTCTTAGGGCCAGGCGATGCTCCCGGCATTGCTGGTTCCATGCTGGCAATTTCCTTATGGCTCATTTCGTTGAGACTGCTGAGAGCGTTGACGACTCTTGGCGGCAGTCGATTCCCTTTCTGAAGCTCGAGCATCGCTCGAAACTGTACGATTGCCTGAAGCGACCACGTCAGCAAGCTTGCAAGCGCGGGAGGAGTGCGAACCTCTCTTCGCTGATACTCTCCCAGACTCTTGATGCACTTCGAATTTGAAAACCAGTCAACCAGACTCGCAGCCTTGTTAGCTGTGAATGCCATTTCTCACTTTACATCACTTTGAATTGGATAATGGTTTCGTACCGCTCGCATCAGGTTTATGGTGTCCTGGCTCGTCTGCACGCCCTTGGCCTTGTGGACGCGCATGAGCTTGTGCCTGCCCCCGCGGCTGAGGTGCTTGAGCCTGTACCCGTGCTTGAGCCTGAGCTGCTTGAGCCTGTACCCGTGCTTGAGCCTGTGCTTGAGCCTGCGCCCTTGCCTGCGCGTGAGCCCTCGCCTGTGCCTGCGCTCTTGCCCGTGCCTGTGCCTGTTCTTGTGCCCTAGCCTGCGCCTGCGCCTGCGCCTGCGCCTGCGCCTGCGCCTGCATGTTCCCCTGCCCTGGCCCTAAGACCCTCCCCTGCCCTTGCACGCCACCTTGTCCCTGCAACATCTGCATCGTGTTCCGTCCGACATTGTGGGCCATGACATTCCCTGCTGAGCCTGCCAACACGAGGTCATGTTGACCCAAGAGAAGGAACAGATCGGACACTTCAAGAAAGTTGTCTGCTCTCTCCTCACAAAACACACCTGAAGAGGCCATTGGCATCTCTCCACCTGTCGGCATTCTCGGTCGCGGCTGGGACGGAAGCTGCATGGAACCGGGAGGCTGCACCATATGCATGGGTTGAGCAATGTGAGCACCGGCGGGGGACATGGCGCTGGAGACCATGGGGTTTGATGCCATGCCGCTGGAAGGAGCAGGCTGCATGCCATTCCCTCCCTGTATCGCCGTCGCCATCAAGTTTCGGCCCCAGCCGTCCATCCCGCCTTTCTTGCCCTACCACCACCCCCACCCCCACGGGATAAAAACAGTCCACCCCTACCCTGAATACACAAACCAAGTGTAGATTTTGAGCCACCCCTAGTCGTGGATGAGGGTACCCTACCTTCCAAAAAGTTCTTTTTGTACTACAAAAGCAGAACCCTCACCGGTACTCAAAGGAAGTACCGTGTCGTGTGGATTCCTTCAGATTTCTACCACCCCACCCATGCTCGATTCACTACAGTCCCTATCAACGCACCCCTACCCCACCAATTCAAAAGACTGAGGCAGGCTCTGAAACAGTATAAATTGAGTAAACAGTTTCCACAAACTTGCAATCTTGCTCCTGCTTCTCCTGATCCTGCTCCTGCTCCTGCTCCTGCTCCTGCTCCTGCTCCTGCTCCTGCTCCTGCTCCTGCATCTGATCTTGCTCCTACTCCTGCTCCTGCATCTGATCTTGCTCCTGCATCTGATCTTGCTCCTACTCCTGCTCCTGCATCTGATCTTGCTCCTACTCCTGCTCCTGCATCTGATCTTGCTCCTACTCCTGATCCTGATCCTACTCCTGCTCCTGCTCCTGCATCTGCTGATCCTGCTCCTGCTCCTGCTCCTGCTCCTGCTCCTGCTCCTGCTCCTGCTCCTGCTCCTGCTCCTGCATCTTCAGTTGCATCTGATCTTGCTCCTACTCCTGCTCCTGCATCTGCATCTGCTCCTGCATCTGATCCTGCTCCTGCTCCTGCTCCTGCATCTGCTCCTGCTCCTGCTCCTGCTCCTGCTCCTGCATCTGCTCCTGCATCTGCTCCTGCATCTGATCCTGCATCTGATCCTGCTCCTGCTCCTGCATCTGATCCTGCTCCTGCTCCTGCTCCTGCCTCGTCACATCTGAGTGTCATTGCTCTCTCCCTACTCTTCCTGCCCCTGACTCCTTTGAATCGTCGTCAGTCCTCCTCCCGACCAAGTACTCGACGTTGTAATAAGTTTGACTTCATAACATAAATTACACTTATCACTTGTAATGTACAGTCACTTCCTAGACGACATCATGCTGCTGGACGAGACTTCGCCTGCCACACAATCACATGGAGGAGCGTCACGGGGAGGGGGAGCAGCAGCTTACGGCAGGTGGCGTTGAGATGATTCCTAATGCTCTCATCCGCTCCTTTGGAGATGAGGTACTCTCCCAGCTCTGTGTAGTTGTATCCGAAGCAGTAGTGCAGGCACGTGTTGCCCTGCTGTCCATTCAGCTCGACGTCAACCGCCGTCTCCTCTGTGCCTCACCTTTTCGTTCTGCGCGTTGATGTCTGCGCCCAGTCGCAGCACCATCTTCGCAATTCTGCATAGGCAGACGATGAGATTCAAGGGAGAGGGAGAGGGAGAGGGAGGAACCTCGGGTCGGGGGGGGGGGGGGGGGGGGGGAGGAGAGAGAGAGAGAGAGAGAGAGAGTAGTAGTAGTAGT